TATTACATTTTTAGTTTGTTTCTTAATGTTTTTTAAAATAATTCTAAATAATTAATACTTATTTCCTTGCAGGACTGCAAAGAATTTCAAGGAGAGCTATTTGGTATTTCCAATTTATTCCGAGATTTGTCGGATAAGCTGTTTACCAGTGAAATCATTGAATTGCATAAAGAACGTGGACATGAAACGGAACAACTGGAGAAAGTAAATCTGTCAGAAGAAACGGGTTCATCGGTATCAGAGTCAGAAACCAGATTATGTCGCAAGTCTGCGGGGGCTGCAACAAGTAAACCAGATCTTGAAGACCTTGGTATGTTTCATATATCCTAAATCTCATCCACTAAATTTATTTTCTTTTATCATAAAGATATTCTCTGTGAGAAAGCTGTTAAGATGCTGGTGAAATGAGAGTTACTGGCAGTTATTTTAATTGGGTAAAATCATTACATATACATCAACAAATAAGTAAAACAAAGTTTTTCTTTGGCATTTTATGGAACTTCATATTTCAACAGTTTCAGCCCATTGAATCCTTGCTTCATGGTGGCGCTTGAAATGACAGTAAAGCTTCTGAACTCATCGTTCTTTTTAATTTGGAAAATAACATAGTGGGTTGATCATATAGTATCTTGGGTAAAGATAAATTTTAAGAATTGCAGTTGTTATTACGATAAAAAAAAAAAACTTTGCAATTTCAGCTAAATGTATGTCCGGAACATCAGCTGGAACTTGTAAAGAAGCTTCTTTTCTAAAAAAAAAAAGTTGATTCTATAAATTTGAAAATTTGTAGTTGATAATTCTTCAAGAGTTTTTCTTTTTTTTTTTATCCAAGCAAAATTAATTATCTACAAAAACCACTTTTCAGTAAATGTACTCAAATAAAACTTTTTGAAATTATGATCGATTGCAACAATAAACAGTTATACATATAATTGATTATTGAAATAATTATTGTGTAACTATTTCATACACCTTAAATTTTTGTATTTTTAGGCATTGTATATACTCATCGCAACGAAGACATTGTCAACTTTGGACCTGGGATTCAAGGGAAAATAAATGCCAACATCCCATCAAATGATAGCCTAGTCATGCCAACTTTGGACCATCAAAGAAAAAAGCCAGAAAAAAGGAAAGTTCCTTTGATTGATGATATGAAGAGAATCCAATATAAGCTCCTTGCTCGATCTATTGGCATGGGAGAGCTTGCTTTTAGCAAATGGTTACTATCAGCTACTCCACTTGAGAGAGAAAAAGTGCTTATTGATTACAAGAAGAAAAAGAAGATGCCTAATGGTTGAAGGATGGTTCTTATGGATGGCAAAAGAGGTCTTCCATGTATCAGTTACTAACAGTAGCAAACAATTAGTGTAAAATTCTGTAGATACGGATGTATAGTCAGATATTTTCTTTTCACAACTTGAATATGTTAAATGTAGCTTGTGTAGTTGAGTTCTAAACATTGTAAAGTTTACATTTGATGAATCTTCACATTTGTGTATTCCTGTGCTTTACCCCTCTTATCATCGTGTTCATCGGTGTAATTTGAAATCTGTGTATTTCTGGCTTCATTTTAATGCACTAGTGAACACATTTTTCTTCTTGAAAAATATTCGCATAGCTATGGAAGCTATGAAACCATTGTCCCGAACTGAAGTCTGTGTTTGCTTTTAAGCGAACGCAATAATGAGTGGGGATAGAGGTGTGGATTGAAGAGAAAGATGTGATGAAAGTTCTTTGTCGGGTGAGGAAATGAGGAAAAATACATAACTCTTTATAATTTTAAATAATTATTCGTCATTTTATCAGTTTCACTGTTTGGATGATAGATGCATGCATGCAAGGCCACTCATAATAGCAATTCTTTGCTTTGTTGACGATGGATGGAGGTAAATGGTTTTCAATGCCATTAAAATGCTGTAAATCATTGTAGTTGGATACTTGTGCGAGAGTTCTTTCCGTGTGGTTGTTCTTGTTGTGCTTTATGTGGTTGTATTTGAAGTTGGGCAGTGGTTGGTTTATGCAGAAACTAGTTGTTTGTGACGCTATGCCTAGGTAGAATCGATTCTCTCTGCGATTTGTGAAGCCAGAATCGATTCTGTTCACTTTTCTATTCACTTTTCTATGGGTTTTGTTTTCATATTCAATAAAGTGTTTCTCATCCAGTGTTTCCGTTTATGTATTTTGTTAGATTCAAACATTGAATTCATTCATCTAAAATTAGATAAAAGTTTCCAAATCTAACATAAGTATATTTGATTCAAGATGCTTTATCAAATCTAAGTTATAATAAGTATGGACTCGATAATTATAAATTTAAATATTTTTATATTCAAATTCTTTTTAAATTTCTTTTAAAGTTTATTTTTTGAAAAAATAATAAATATAATAAATTTTATTGATTTCAATAAATATTTATAATTTTTTATTTTATTCTTTTCATTTTTAATTTTCGTTTTTAAAATTAATTAAAGATTATGTAAAAGGTATACATATAAATAATAAAAAAGTAATTAATGTTATCATGAACTTAAAAAATAATAATAAAATAAAGTATATTTTTAATACTAAAGTTAAATACAAATAAAGAAAATAATCAAGTTTATTTAATATTATTATTTTATTTCTAAATTATTTTTAATTATATTTATTGAGAATAATATTTAAATTTAAAGAAAAATAATAGTTTTAAAATTATAATATTAAATAAAATTTAAAAAATTAATATTTATTTATAAATTCACAACATTATATTTAAATTAATAAAAAATATAATATTTATTTAAATTCACAAAAAATATAATGAAAAGGTAATAAAAATATTTATAAATTCACAAAATTATATTTATTTAAATTATTTATTTACATTAGAATTGATTTTTCTATTCTTTTTACCCACAATCTCCCTCTATAAGTGTTCGGTTGGTGTTTCTACGTGATGATTTGGTTTGTAATTTTCATGGTGTTGTATTATAGGTAGTGGTTGTGGTTCTGGTTCGTGATGATTATAGTAATTAATAGTTACATTTTATTTTAATATAATTTACACCTATTATATTTTATTTCAAATTATATTTAAAACATAATCAATTAATTTTTTTAATTTATTGAATAAATCATATTACTTACAAATATTCATCTTATTTTTTTTATTTCTCATCATTATTTCCTTAATCCAAACAACCCTATTTTTATCTTCTTCTTCTTTTTTTCCTCAAATCCACTTATTTCCAGTTCATCCTCACATTCAAAAAAGAGTTCTAAGGTGAATTTTACTTCTATGAATAAAGTCTTCAAAAATTTTAAACTCTGTCGGTACATTTAACAGCAATTATATTTGGACATGTAGAAAAATATATCTTTTATACAACTTTTTTATATTAATATAATAATGATATTAATATATAAATTGATGATTAAAATTAAAGATAAATAATTATTGATCGATTGTTTGTTTAATTATAAATTGTCAATACATCCTTATCCTGTATTTAAATGAACTCTAACTTTGTAAAAAGAAAATGCATTAACCTCTTCCATTCTCTCTTGCTCTTTTCTATGATGTATTTGGATAAACAATTTTAATTAATTTAAAATATTTGAAAATTTAATTATTTTGATATAAATTTTATTTATTTTTGAAACGTTTTTTTCTTCAAATCAATTCATTTTGGATAAGACAATTTAATTTCTATTCTATGCAAAAATTATTTTTAAAATTAAAATATATTATAATATTTTATAAAAAATGTACTAGTCAATTCTGAAATATTTTTAGTAAATTGAATTTAGGTTTTATTAAGTGTTTTTTTTTTCTCATGAGTTTTTGTTTGAGAAATGGGAGAGAAGAGAAGAAAAAGAGAAAAAAAAAAAAAGCAAAGGATATCACATGGAGAGAGAGTATACGAGAAACAGAAATGAAAGAAAAAGAAAAAAGTTAAGAGAAAAGAAAATGCGAGATATTTCAAAATTTTACTACAATGATATAATTTTAAATTCTAAAATTTCAAATACTTTTACCAATTTTTAAAATTTCGTGAATTTTTATTGGATTACAAGTTTTAACATAACGTATTTGATTTTTTAAAATAAATTATTCATTTACTAAATTAATATTTGAATATCCATTTTAAGCAAAAAATCATTTTAATGGTATTTTAATTTTTCCTTTACCCTCTTTTTTCCACTTCTCTCATTTTACGTTTTTTCTCTCCTATGCAAAGAGATTGGTACCCTTCTACTTTGTTATAAATGTCTACATTTTAGTTGAAATCCAAACATTTATTTTCTAATCTATAATGCAATACCTCACTTAATCTTTAACATGATTACCTGTCATTTGAAATATTCCTATCAAAAGTAATCCAATATTTGAGTGTTTGCTACTCAAGATAAATTTTCACAAAGGACAAGTTGAAGTAAACATAACCATTTTAATAAATATTAATGAAAAGGTAAAAAGGTTCTAGATGTGATCCTTACTAGCTTCTGAATTACAAAAGGCTTCTACGGAATAATGAATAATATACCAAATTGATAGAAGAGAGGCTTAAAAATATATCAATGATAGATAATTGCAATAATAGATGCATAAAAATAGAGAGAAGGTGCTTTTGTTTTAAAATGACATGTATGTAGCTCAAGCTTAAAAACAAAGAAATTGTAAACGGACTATTTCAACTACAATTCTATAAAGATGTCAAATTCTACATTTCTTACCTTTTTTCCTTCACCAAAAAAGGACATTAAGGCATTTTTTTGTTTACACTGTGTTTATCCCTTGAGGACTTGGAACACAACAGTTCCTAGTTCCTACGTTGTGGTCTTTAAAACACTCGGAAATAATTTCGAAAACTTAAATAGATTTTGGATGAAAATTTAATTCGGTTTATCCCTATTTTACTCTTTCTACTTTTGATCTCAAGCAGCACATCCTAGAATAGTGGATGCTACGCTATTTTAGATTGCCAAATACAAAAATTCCAACCTTCTCTTTGTAGTTATCTTCTATGCATCTTGAATCTGGAAACTGGTTTTGAAGATTGAGAACCAGAACCCTGTGAAGGTCAAACTCGTGATTAGCATATATTTAAGCTAATGATGAAACTGCAGAGCATCATATGTATAAAAACCATGTTTATAAAATCTTTTTATTTATGGAAAATAGCACCACATATATTATCAGTAAATTAAATCTACCTGTGATGAAACAGAACTTTGTTCTCTTGAAGGTCTTTGTATATTCTCAGTATGCTCTATAATAGAGCCAGTAAAAGCCTGCAGAAAATATTTATTTCAAAAAAATTATTGATTGTGCTTCCTCCAAGGAGTTAAGCCAAATGAGTGTAAAAACTACGAGTGTAATAAACACACCTTGCGACTGTCAAATGATGGTTGTGAAGTTTGGTGTCGAACCTGAAAAGGAAATAATTGTATACATGTTAGGGATCAATCCTCAGTAAATGCTGTAAGGTCAAATCATCTGCATAATTTTCCAAATCAATAATTGTAAGTTCTTTGTAACATTTTCAAATAACTGTTCAAGAATACTGTTCAAAGCACGAAATACAACCTTATTCTAAGAATTATGATGAAAACTTCATCACATTAGTAACATACCTCAGTTTTTAATGTCACGGTTGATTGAACTGGTTTTTCTTTAGAACGAACAGGAATCTTTTCACTAGGATCAATGGATTCTACAAAATTTTCCCCTTCTGATAGTTCAGAAACAATGGAAAAGTTAATTTAAAAATGGATGCAAACAGCTGACACAACTACTAAACGTGCAGACAGCAAAGAAATGAGATGTAAGTATTGAGGACAAACCTCTTGCTGTAGATTGCACTCCCAGGCTAGCAAACTGCATTTTGAAAATTAGAATGCAAAAGCATGATTCTTCAGCTGATGAGTTTACATAGCATACTAAACTTTAATGCCAAACTACAAGAAAGGAAGATAATATCTTACATTCATCTGATTAGTTGTATCTTCTTTATGATATCGCTTTTCTGGAAGCTCAGCTGTTATAATTTTATTATTAGTCTGATCCAGTAGTGCTCTTTGACGAGAATCCTGTTTGAGCTGTCATAGAAAATGAGTTGAGATATCACAGTCCATTGTGCTCATAACCTCTAAACAAAATTTCCAAGAAAAAATTCAACAAAGTAATAAAAATATTACTTTTGAATTTTGGAGATTGTTATCAATATGTCCTTGATTAGACATTCCGTCAAAATCACCAGTACTTTCATCATTTTCATCACTGTGATTGCCACTTTCTGCAGCAAGCTCTTCTTTCTCAAGTTCATCCATTATTGCCAGCATACGAGCATATTCCCCATCATTAGCCACAGCATTTCCCAAATTAGGACCATCTTCTCGCGGTTGACCTGAAAAAGGATATTAACATTTCAATGATCATTATTTCAAAATTGCCAACATACTTATAAATATGGTCATTGGTTAGGAACGCCCCCACCCAAAATAAAAACTTATCATTTGGACCGGATCAGACTTCAAATCTATGTTTGAAAACCAATTCAAACCAAAATTATATGCAAATGCATAATTTTATTTGTTGAAATATACCACCTCTTACTAGTATAAGTAGATATTTGTGAAATTACTATATCAGTCTATTTTCTCCAAGGTCTAATCATCTAAATTATTTAATATTATTCTAATTTCATAATACATTTACCAATTCAGAGTCGGTTTGAAATGTATTTTTTTGTCTCTTTTATTATTATTTAATACCATTAGTGTTTGATATTGACGATTTTTTTAATAGAGACAATAAAAGGTACAAAACATGATAAGTTATTTTTAACAAAGTAACAAAATAAATTACAACTAAAGCAATTTATTTTGCTTGTAACTTAAATTCTAAGTTCTTTTTCCAAGTAGCTCAATAAAATGAGATATATTAATTTTATAGTTGTAGGGTTTAGCTTATGGGATGAGATTTCTTACACTTCAAATTAATTTTTTTATCATACTTATTGCGTATATCTAGGTTTATTTACTTCATAGAAAAAGTAAAACCAAAAATGATCTAATCGAAACCAATTTTGACTAGTACTCAGAAAGTGAAAAAAGCAATTTATAAACACAAAGCAAATTATACATAACTGATTTGAAATATCAATATTAATTGAACAAACATATTGCTTGAAACTATAAATAGTATCTGAAAGCTAATAACTGGGAGAAAAGTGTGAGAGATGGACAAAAAAAAACTGGAAGTAGCATTGCAATTTGTTTATCAAATAGAAAACAAAAATGTATAGTTTCAGAACAAAGATAAAAATTTCAAATCTAACATGCAAATGCAAACAAAATATCTGCAGACCCATCAAAATAATTAATCATAAATGCTTCTGCCACAAAATCGTAATAGAATGTAAAAATCAAAGTAAAGCAGAAATGAGATTTGATTTGCTATAGAATGACAATTACTGATATTTGAATAATCTTAATAAATCCAAAATCTTAGACAAAAGACTTCAATTATATAGACATTCCAGCCTTCTCCCTACCAGTTTCCATTTATCATGAACTTTAACTATCATCTTATATAAACATTAAATCATATATATAAGGCTAGAACATGCCTGATTTGGATTCCCCTTCATTAGAGTCTTCCTCTACATAATCTTCCCTTATCTCCACAAGACCCTCCTGTGCCAAATTAAGCCACCACAGCAATTAATAATTTATACCAACATCAAAATATTAAAGTGCTAACAAAAACAAACAAAGACAAAAGAAGAATATCATAAAGAATTGTAGCATAGTGTAAATATAGAGTAAAACACCCTAACTTGGATGGTCGGTTAAGTAAAAAAAGATTAAACTTCTAATATCATAATATAGGATGTGTTTGGGTAAACAGCTTGAGAAAGCAATTATTATAGAATCACGTAAATAAGCACTTATAGAAGAAGAAAAAAAGTAAAACGAATTAATGCTTTTCGTAAGCTAAAATTATGCACTAAATTCTTTAGAGACTCTCTCATTTCTTATGAGAAAAGATCAATTCATTTTAAACTCTTACTTCCTTCTACATAAATTTATCCTAACAGGGTCGAAATGGTCAAACCAATCAAACCACAAGCTATTTCTAAAACAGAATACAGATGTCAATGTCAAAAATTGCCTTAACACAAATCAAATTCAACTTATTATTAAAGTGCTAAGAGCAAAACAAACAAGAAATAAACCCTTACCGCTACTTGAGAAGCTGTGGCATTGAAAAACGAAGCCTCTGCTTCAAGGTCCTTGATATTGGCCTCAAGGGAATCAACCTGCGAATCCAAGGACTTCCCTCTTCGCTGCAAAATCTCAACGGTTTGGTTCGAAGTTCTATCGACATAATACCCTTCCCCCAAAAGAACCTAACAACCAAACCAAAACAAAACCCTTTGCCACTGAGAAAACGCACATTCAATCAAGGGATCGAAAGGGCGAAGACACGTACCAGGAACTCATTAGTATGAATCAAACGACCAGGGAAGAACGCTGCTTTCCCAAACGGAACCTAAGAACCCATAAGTTTGAAACAGTTTAACGAAAGAGAAATATAAGAGTGGAAAAATGAAAAGGGAGAAATTTAACCATAAGTACTAAACATGATACAATATTTCAGGATTACTTATGTTATTCTTCAATCAAAATTATAATTATATACCCATACAATGTCGAATAAAACATGCATTAAAAGATTGAACAACTTATCGAGATAAATCAATTCTAATGATAACACTAAAAACAGTAACTAAAGTTTTCTGCTTTTGTTAACACTTCCTCCTAAATTGAAAAAAAAACTCAGTTATCTCGGATTACATAATAATTTATCGTGAAAAAGGGTTTGTTTGTTGGTTACCATGATGTCGTGGGAGAGTTGTTCGGGTAGTTTGTGGACAAGGTTGACGAGGTTGTTGTTGTCGGCAATGAAACCTCGTACGCGATCGAGCTTGGAACGCTTGTCGGCAATGGCGTCTTCGACGCGCTTCGCCGCCTTCTGCGCCTCCTCTACTGGGAACAGGGAGGCGAGTGAGGTCACAGTCCCTCTCTTCCCTGATTCTTCCATTTTCCCCTCTCCTCTCTTTCTTCGTTTCTTAGATTTGATTATTATCAGTTAAAATGTGAAGGAATAATGGATTTTAGAAAATTAAATCTCCTTTTATCATACGGCAAAAGATAAACATTATTTAATTAAATTTTAAAAAATATACTTTTTTATTATAAATTATTATGTAGTTAAAATGTGTAAAAAATATTTTTTAAATATATAAATCATATTTCCGATATATGGTAAATATTTTATATTATGATGGAAAGATAAAAGAGTAATTTAAAAAAGATAACGGTTTAAAAAAAAATCGAAGATATAACTAGGGGAAACACGTGATAAAAAAGGAAGAAAAAAATAGAAATTTATCAATTATTTAATTTTTTTAGAGAAGAAAAAAAATCATAAAAATAAAAGAAAATCAAAATATTTTAATTTAATATAAATGTTGACTAAATTATAAATTTGTTTTCTCGTTTTTTTTTTTTAATTTGACCGGTTAACTTAAAAGCTTCACTCAAATTATTCAAAATGTTTTTAGTAAATTAAATTCATCTATTCATAAATTTCAAAAAATTAAGTTAACTTAGAGACGTAAAAAACCAAGAATTAATATTATAAATAATATATTTTATAAAAATTACTTTAAATAAAATTTTTAAAATTTTTTTATTAATTAGATTGATTTATAGTTGATATACAAAATTTAACCAAAAAAATAAATTTATCTTATATAATACTTATGTTTTTCCCTCTTTCTTAATTTTTTTCTCTTTTTTTATTTACTTTTTTTATTTATCTTTTTTCTATTTTTTTCTTCTATCACTCCATCTTAAAAATAATAGATTAAATTTTGATAACATAAGTCTTGTATTATTGTTAAAAAATAAAAATATTTAAATAATCTATAAATATTATAATTTAATATATTATATAATAAATTTGAGATATTAAAAATATTATTATGTTATAATTATTAAACAAAAAATTAAATATTTATTTTACAATATTTAAAAAAATTACTTAATCTAATTAATTATCATAACTCAAAATTATTATATCTAGATGTAATTTAATTGTTAAATAAAAAATACATTTTATTTATAAATAATATTTTGATATTTTTTTAATTAGATAAGTAATTATTTATTATAATAAAATAATTTTAAATTAATTATTTATTGTCAAACTAAATTAATTTATTTATTATCAAATTAAATAAAATTATTTATTATCATTATAATCTTAAATAATTAGTTAATATTTTTTAATTTCAATATATTTTTAAAAATATTTGTTTTAATATATTTTTATAAATTTTAATATAATATTTCAATTAGGAGAATAAATGAAAAAGGAAAAAGAAACAAGAGAAAAGTAAGATAGAAAAAAATTAAAGAATCAATAAAGAAAAAATAAAAAATAAAAATTTATGAAAAAAGGAAAAAAAACTACATAAAAAAATAATCTATTTGAATAAATAAATTTATATAGAAATTTGAATAATTTTTTTAGAAATATATTATTTTTAAGATTCGTTCATCAAATCAAAGTTTTACATAAACTAAAATTAACATTATCAATAATAAAAAATTATGAATTTAGTATAATCTACACACATTAAAAGACTATAATAAAACTTGTTAACTTAAAAATAAATAAATTAAAACAAAAACTAAAAGGTGAACCAAAATTAATTTTTAACCTAAATAATGGATAGTTATTTTATCCAACTTAACTCACATTGAACACCGATTCACCTTCGAAGTATCTTTTATGTTTGTTAGAAATGTAAAACTTATGTTCAATAACAATATGACATATTTCTAAAAACAACATTAAACGAGTGACGGATCTTGACCGAGTCAGTTTAGGAGGTCAATTATAAACAAAATATATAATAATAAATAAATAAATAAGATATTTATTTAAAATTGTGTCATTCATTTTTTAATGTTTAAACTCATCAATAATGGAATCAAAATTAAAGTTTTCAATTATTATTTTTTTCAATATAAATTATTATATTATCTACAAGAATTTCATCTTTCATTCTATGTCACAAGTCATGTTTTGATAATCTTCATCTGTAGAAAACGATTTTTCAATTGTAAGTATAGAAACATAAAAAGTTAAAATAAGACGAATTAAACGATTTATTGAGTAAAATATACCGACCTCCCTGTGTTTGGTCAAAGATGAACATAATTCAAGCATGGTAGACAAATTATTCAAATCTAGATGATTAGGAGCATCAAGCATAAAATGATGAAGTTGAAATTTTAAATTAACTTTCTCTTGTTCACTAAAATCCAAAGGATAAAAATTGTTCTCAAGTGTGCATATATGATCAATGTTAAAATTTTTAGAGACATCATTTGGAATTAAAGCATTGCTTAAAGTTAAAAGTTTCATTGTTTTCTCACTAAACATATCATTTAATTCTTGTCATTATTTATCCCTTGTAATAAAAAATATATTCACTTTGAAATGATATTCTCCTATAATACAATTTTTTTGAAACGACGTACTACATAGGTAGAATTAAAATTAGGAATATCAATATCATGTTACTCACAAAACAATATCACATCTTTAAACAAATTTTACTAACCATCATCTCTTAAACCAACCATACTAAAATCTCCTAGGATGTTTCTCTTTAATAAAAAGATAGTTTTTAAGTTGTATTTGATATGAACCTCAATTTAAATAAATTCTTCTAATTTCATCTCTTTGATTCATAGGATATTCATGTATCTAAAAACGTTTTCCTAAGTCACGCTCTAAAGAATTAATATTAAATTCATTGGTTTTAATTTTATGAATCTTAGAAAGGGGTTCTTCTAATTGAATAATTGGATAATCAATATCATGCTTTAAAATAGGAGAAGATGTTAAATTTGTTTAATTTTCATCTCTACAAGTATCTCTTTTATCACTTTTTAAAAAAATGGATCTATTCTTTTATGTTTCATATCTAGAAAAAAATGAATATATTATTATTTTTCTAATTATAGAATCATAAAAATTTATTAAAAACAAAAATGTTTTTCTCATACAACAAATGTTCCTCAACAAAAATCAAAATAACAAACAATAATATAATAGAATAAACAATGTAAAAAGATAAAAAAAATACTTTTATCAATCAATATAATTTCAAGGATAAAATATGAGGAGGGAAGAAATGAGACAAATAATAAATTTAAAAATAGAAACTATAGAAATAATTTAATACTAATCAATTAATATTACCCTTAATAAGAGAATATAAAAAAGTGAGAGAAGATGAAAAATTACTTTTAATCTTTCTTATTTAATATATTTATTGGAAACTAGAGAAACAATTAAATACTAATAAAATATTATCATTAACAAGAGAATATGAAAAAGTGAGAAGATAGAAAAGTAAGATAATAAAATTATTTTTAATTTTTCTTATTTGATTTATTCCTTTAATTTTTTCTTTATGATATATTTAATATTGATGGAGTCAAAATTATAAATATACAAATAAGAAATTAAAGAAATAATTAAATACTAATAAAATATTATCATTAACGAAAGAATATAAAAAAGTAAGAGAAGATAAAAAAGTTAGATAATAATTTTTTTTTAATCTTTCTTATTTGATTTATTCCTTCACTTTTTTCTTTATGATATATTTAACATTGAGGGAGTCAAAATCATAAATATATAAATAAGTTCCGTGAAAGATCCACTCAACTTTGCATCCTTATGCTACTACTATGAGCCAAGTTCTATCCTATAGTCAGATAGAAGGAAACCTATCTTAACTAGTTAGCTTAAGAAGCCTCAATGTTGAGAGAAACTTTGACGAATCATGTTCCCAACAACTTCTTTCTCCTATTTTTGTGATTGTTTCACTAAATAATGAAAAAAGTGATATTTGTCACTTTTTATAATAATGATTATCATAAAAATAATACTTGACATGATTTCTAATTAGTTAAGAACATTTACAATGGTAGTTTAAAATAAAGTCTCGTGTAAATATATAAAAAATAAACATCCAATTTAAAAAAGTTATAATATTTATTAAAAAAGGTCCAGTTAGTTTTCTTCTCATGTACTCACACGTTCTTATGATTATGATATTTCATTGTTTAATTAATGGATGGATATGGTGACATATCACATAGATAAGGGATTAATACTTTACATGAAATTGTCCAATGGATGACTTCATCATGCGATATTCACGTGTCCATTGGTTTGCTTAGAAGTCATATATGGAACAATTAAAATAAAAAAAATAATGATAACATAACAAAATACAAATACAGTCATACTAACAATTCAAATTCATATCACAAATGTTAATACAAAGCAAAAAAAAAAAAAAACACAAATTTTAACGCATAGTCACCGGGTGTTTGACATCCCAATAATAAGCATAAAACCAAATCTCATGACAGTTTTTCATTTAACTCATATTTGTAAAAAATCCAATATGCTAAATCATACATTGAATCTTGCAAGCACATAACTATGATTCTATTTTGAGGATCTTTAATCAATTCTAAAGCAAAACTAAATTGTTGACGACTCAAAAAATCCTCCTCCTTTAGACTTTTCAGGACTGCAATGCAATTTGGCATGCAATATTTTCCATGTACATCAGAATTACCTTCAATGTCATCTTCCTCAGCTTCATTATGACATTTTCGAGTAGTTCCAGAATTACACTCAAGACTCTTTTCACTAGCCATAAGCTGTCATGCATTACAAACAAATTTAAATAACTTATACAAATATAAACACAAATGGAATCATTTTAAGAAATGAGAGGGTGCAAATCCTGTTTAGAGGGTGAAACAATGATTACATATTATTCAAATTATAATTTTTCACATTTGGCCTATCAACTAAGAGAAATTACACATACGGCCTATTAAAAAACACAAGGGTTGGTCAGTTCTCATCTACATTTTGTTTGCTTTTCATTCAGTTTATGATCCTATAAATCCTTCTATTTAATTTATGTTTGCATTTCGATATATTTAACTCATTGAGGGTTCAAGAAACATTCATTTATCAATGTTAATTTCATCAATTCATCGATGCATATTAAGATTACTGTTCATCATATTATTCTTGAATGTGAAGCTGAAAGATAACTATTAATGCTGTCGAATAAAAAGGAAAGAAAGATAACTATTAATTAAAAGTTAAGAGTATGATTAGCAAAACATATAAATAAAAAGATAGATATGTTGCAAAACTGCTAATTGGCTAACCATATCATCATGTATAGTGTCGTTAGCTGCTAATCTCTATCTGTACAAAAGCTTGGAAAACTACTAATTGACTAGTTGGAAAGTAGACACAAAGATCAATTACGACGAGTTTCAAAGAATAAAAGATAATTAGATACAACAATAATAAAACAATTTGTAAAACTAAAAGAGATACAATTACTTTTATAATTTGAAAATAATAAATCAACAAAAGTATTAACACTTTATACCTATAGGCTTAACTACAACTAGAAATTGATTCAGCTATCAATACCACGACGATTGACCTTATTGAAGAATTTAGCCATTTCCCTGAAACTGAAACTGAGGGAATTCGGAAAAGTTCAAACCATTTCCCCAACACAAGTTAAAAAGAAAACTAACTCAGAGATTACAGAAATCCAAAGCACACGTTAGGGTTTCCACATAAAAGCATAGCAGGGTTACACATTATTTCTATTTAGAAGAAAGATAGCCTTAAAACTTAAAAGCTTTTGCCTGATACTGTTAGTAACAAACAAAATTGACATCCCGACTAGTACAAATTAAACTCAACAAAACAAGATCGATCTTTAAAATCAACTAATCAGAAAGTCATATAACACATTACTGGTTCAAGTGAATCACAAACCTAATAAAGGGACAGAGCAAAGAATAGAGTGGAGAACCTAACCTTACAGATGGTGTGGGAGAGAGTGCGCGGTTGGGAAGTTGGATAAGTTGTTTTCAATTGGGATTCAATCATGCATTTGAAGGGTAAAGTGAAAAAATAGGGAGAGAGACAGAGAGAAAAGTCAAGAAAAAAAAAGAAGGGGGAAGGATAATATTTATTTTGTGTAACTACCCTTCATGGCTTTTCTAAAAGATATTTAAATTTTCATCATTAACCTAATAAGAACCATGTCGTCTCGTCTCCTATATATATATATATATATATATATATGTCAACATCAATTCTCATCAATCTTCCAAAATATGTAAACCATGCATTTTATCAGTTTGTAACGAATCACTCAGCCTTTCAATTAATCATTGTTTCACATGATCGTGGTCTACATTTATTCCACTTTTTCATTTTTATTTGTTATGAGATTCTAATTCATAATTCCAACTTTTGAAAGAATTTTCAAAGATCTCCCTTGCTGTAAGTTTCTGAAAATCTGACAAATAAATATGTAATAATCCCAACGTTTTGCCACCCAATTCAAGATATCCCTAATGTTATGATAAGACAAAGTTACTTACCATAAAAGAAAAATTAAATCAAGAATTACCTCCATGTCTTGAATTTTGGAGCACTTGCAGGTGGTTTCACATTTTGTGGTTTTACACTTGATCTAGACAAAAGGGAAGAAACTTCCTTTGAATTATTGAATATTATTGTTTATAAAACAACAAAAAAAAAATTCTTTTATTTTTTATGTAAACATTATAAAAATTTATAGTAGTTCACATTTTTTTCTTTATATATATATATATATATATATATATATATATATATATTTTGTCTTATTTTCATGTTTTAGGTCAACGTTAATTTATATATACTGAATTTTTTTTTAAAATAAAAATTATTATGATAAATTAAAGCTCTTACTATATGAACAATTTTTTTAGTTGTTAAATATAAAATTAATTTCAAAATTAAAATTATAAGTAATATATTTAAAAAAAATTAAATGTTCAAATGTATAAATTTATAAATACATTATTTTGAAAAAAGCTTATGACATTTCCATTTGACATTTACAATACACTAATATATTTACTCTTCAATCAAGTTATTCCCCTTTCTCCTTTTTCATAAAACTCATTTAATCAATGTATCAAAATTAAAGAGTGTAATTGGTTTAGTTTATAACCTTAAATTATTTCAAAATAATTATAAATATCTTGTTGACTATGTAATAAGAAAAAAATATATATAAAAAAATAGAATAAAAAATATGTTTGCTTGTTTTTAAAAAATTATAAAAAATTTCTCAAACGTATATTATATATTTTGCTATATGATTATAACATATATTTTTATTATAAATTATATATTTTTAAAAATATTTGAATTTAAAATTGATAAAATAATATGATATTAAAATATATTAATTATTTATTTAATTTTTATAATTTAACTTGTTTTTTTCTTTATAGTATTAACTTTTTTTTTAAAAGATTATTTATTTTTATATTTATAAATGCTATTTATATACGTTTGAGAATTTTTAGTTATACTTTTATTAAAATATAATAAACATAAAAATAGTTATAAACATTAAATAAATAATTTAATATTTTTTATTTTTAATATGATATTATTTTCTTAAATTAAATTCAACTACTTTTTTAAATATATAATTTTATAGTAAAATTGTTTATAATTATATATTAAAATATTAAAACTAAATCTTAATTTAAAGGTGTTAACTTAAAAGATTATTTCATTTTAAAAAATTAATTGATAATGATATTGTCTAATTTTATAAATATTATTTATTTATTTTCATTTACTTTATGTTTTAAAAAACAAAAGAAAGAAAATATGTCTTTATTAAAAAATAAGGTAAAAAGAAAGTATGTCTCTTGTTTAATAGTAAAGGATAATGAGGAAATACATTTTTCACTCTATTTTATTTATTTTTCTTTTTATAAATGTAATATATATATATATATATATATATATATATATAATAAAAAAGAAAGTGAAATAAAAAATAAAAATATTATAAGATTATTCTCTTTCTAATAAAGGATTATTATATATATATAATTTTATTTTATATCTATATATTAACTTTTAATTATATTAGTATAACAAATTAGATTAATATATTTTTATTTTTATATGACATTATTTTATTAATTTAAACTCAAATATCATTAAAAATATTTTTTATAATATATATATATATATGTAAAATATTGATTTTTTTTATATTTTAAAAATATTTTTATCCATACAAAATAATTATAAAAATATTTTTTAATTGTAAAAATAGTTAATTTCAATTTTTTTTATTTCTTAAGTGAATGTTTTTTTTTTCATATAATTTTTGTTGAATAAATATATTATTGAGTCCATTTTATATGTTTTTTATTTATTTTACCACATAATTTATTTTAAATGAACACTACAATATTTCAATTTTTTGAAGGTAACAGCAGTGATATTATAACATATAAGATTAGTTATACTCATTAACTCCAATGAATTTCATTATTGTGTATGAAGAGTGATGAATCAATCAACCAATAAAATAAAATAAATATTTATTAAAAAATATTTGAGATTTTTGTCCATACAAACTTGCATAAAAAGTACACAAAAATAGGAGATTTGAGTTTTAAAAAGTTAAAAAAAAGGTAAACTATCTAATATTTTTGTTTCATCACAAGTATTTCCTATATTATATATTAATAATAGTTTATGAATATATTTTATAAAACAGTTATCTTATAAAATAATATCTTAAAATATGTATAATATTTAAAAAATAAGATTCAAGATATCTATTAAAATTAAATATTAAAATTTGTTTTTTTACTAAATAAAATATTTTATTTATAAATACAAAATATAATCTAAAACATAATTTCAAATTTATAAATATTTAAATTATATAAATGATAATTAAAATTAATAAAAATCTTCACATACAAGTAATAATGATTTATAACCTATTATATTTTTAATAAGTATTTAGATTTTTTCTATTTTTAAAATTTTTGATATATTTCTCTTTTATTTTTTAATTAATTTTTTTTCTTCTCGTCTACCTACTCCTTTTTCTACAATTTTCCTTTCCTTCAAACAAAACATAACTAAACTAAGGAGAAAATAATTAACAACTATAAGTATATTTTTAAATTTAAGTATATTTGTATTTCTCATAAAATAAATTATTTTTAAGTTAATTTTTTATATTAATTTTTTTATACTTTAAAATTAAAAATTATTACTTTATCCATAATACTAGTTGATAATCAAATGGTAATATATAATAATATCAGTATTTAATGCCTTTAGAAAAAAATTAGATGTGCATTATACAAATATTATTTATTTATCTTAAAAAGAATGTTAGGAATTTAAATTAATTATTTTAGATATATTTTAGGATTATTTTTTTTATAATAATTAAAATTGTTATTCCTATTTTTTAAAAGACTAAAAAATCATTTCAAATATTACATAGATGAAATAATAACTGTTGTATATGGACCAGATAAAAACTTGCTTATTTTATGGGCATGGAAACGCATTAAAATTAGTTTATCGTGATAAATAATTATTATAAGTTGATATTATTATATAAAAAAATTAAACTTTGTATTCTTAAAATAAATATATGAAGTAATTTTTTTTATTAATTGAACCTCATTTTGTTTAGATATAATGTAATTGAACTTTTGAAATGAATTTTGATGAATTTTTTTATTAAAAAGCATTTGATACAAATAGTTAACTAAGTTTTTCTAACTATGAATATAATTTTGTATTCTCGTGAATCATATTCCTATAAATATTATATTAAAAAAATATTATTCTCATAGACATGTTTGATTGATATTTAATAATTATAGAAAAATATTTTTTAAATTAAAAGATTAAAGTAAAAAAAATATATTGAAGAAAGGAGTTAGAATGAGTAGTTTTTGAAGAAGAAATTTAAATTTCATGAAAAGATGAGAACAGTTTTCATTAAATATAAAACACCTTAAAATATAGAGCATAATTTTTTAGAATAAATAATATTTGGAAATATATTATCATAACCTCTTTACAAACATAATAATACATTAATATTTGATGATCTTTTCTCAAGTTACATTGATATCTTAATTTTTTTTTAATTTTGTATCCCCAGAAAATATAAATAATATTTTAAAAGTACAACCCCACGTAAAATTTTTAAATTTGCTTAGACTTAAATAAACATTTCCAATTTACAGATGAAAACCAAGACTTTTTAATAAGAAACAATCAAAATTAAAACTTATTTTTTCATATATACTAAAAAATTTAAACCTAAACCAAATAATAACATTAATAAATTTAGTTAATTAAACAACAACAGTACTTGTTTCTCTCTTATTTTCATAAAAATAATTAAAAAAAATAAAAATTTACTTTCTTTTCAATCAAACAATTTTGGTTTCTTTCATATTTTTTACCTATTTATTTTTCTTCACCTATTAAAATATTTTCTTTCCTAAACAAAATTTAAAGGAGCAAACAAAGGAAAAAAAATAAAAGAATAAAAAAGGTGTGTCTGGTCAGTGACAACACTTCCCACAGGGCGCGTATACATATCATACGTAGCAACCTGCAGCCTACAGTACACCCAACCTCGTCAACCACGGCTCCTACTCCTCAGACCTTTTCCTTCGAAACCCATTTTTTTTATTCTTCAAAACGAAAAACATATTATATTTTCTCAATCCATTATTTTCCATTTTTATTTACAACAAAGTTGTCATTTGGTGGCAGACCTTGCTGGTGAAGTGAAATTTTGTTCCTAAGTCGTTGGCCTTTCACTGTCTCTCTCTTATCTGATTCAAACTATCCATGGTGTGACTCGTTGTTGTGACCAGGCGAGCGATTTGTTCCTTTGACTCCTTTTGAAGCAACCCTTTGTCATTCTTAAGCAATTTCCGGTGATGGGTTTTGGATTTTTCTTTTTGATTCCCTATGATCAGCAGCCACGACTGAGAACTGGGTTGTTCAAATTGTAGTTTCTGTGTGGTATGGTGTGTTGGGGGTTTGACATGGTTGAGGTTGACTCTCAAAGATTGGAACATGAGAGGAGGGAAGTGGGGTTTTTGTTGAGGATTTCATGTGGGTTGGTGTTTTTGTTGTTTCTCAGTCCTGTGGCAGGTTTGAGACCCTTAAGGGATAAAACCAATTCTTGGGGTGACGAGGTACGTTTATTGTTTTGTATTAGTTTTGGTTTCTATGTTGCACTTGGTTTTAGATTTAGCTCCTGTATTGTGTTTTGTGGTGGTAATTGTTGATGGTGATTGGCAATTTGAACATAATTTCGTTATGCTTGGTTTTAGCCTTAGAGTTGATCATTTCTTGCTTCAAGTTTAGTTTTGAGTTAATGAGGTTGGAGGGGTTGCTCAGTTTAGGTGCTACTTGTTTTTGTCTTCTTATTTTTGCCCGTGGTGAAAGTGGAAACATAAAATTTGATGTTTAATGTTAGGCTTGTGTATGATAAAACAATGTGGGTTTTGTAAAGGGCTGAAGGCATTTGCACGAGTTGAGTTTTAAGTTAATGTGTTTATAATGCCTTGATGCGGTATCAAATTGATGGTTAATTTGCTTGCTGTTGGAATCAGATTCAGAGAGGAAACACCTTGCTTTAGACTAGTGGAGTAAGAATCTGCAATGAAGTAGTACTCGTGTATTCTTTATAGAATTTTATGTCAAAATGCACTTAGTTATATGTGCAGTGGCTTAGTTATCCCCTCTCAACGTTAACAAAGAAATATACATTTGAACGTTTCCTTCATGTGTTTGCCAGACCACATGGCCAATTGTTGCTATCTTAATATGCTTCTATGTTATCATCAACCGTGGATTAGAATTCAACAAAACCCACTCATAATTAGCACTTGCAAACATCATTACTTCTTATTTAAACAATTCTTTCTGTACATATGCAGAACTTGTATTTTGAAATAAATGAAACACATTGAATCATCAGATTAGAAACAAATTGGAACTTTTACAATTAAGTTTATTGTAATGAGCCGTTTATTTTTGTTGTGATGTGGTTGCAAGGCCCTTAACATTCCTCCTAGGACTATCGTTTTACCACAGGTCCACAAGGCAATTTGGGTTCTCATTAAAAACTAAAATTCTTTTCAGTGATAAACTGATATTTCAATGCTTGTGTCAAATGCATTCATTTACTTGTTGACATTGCTTCTTTCAGTGGGTTTTTACAAGAAAAGACGAAAGTGACTTAGGTCCATTTTCACAATGGAACATAACTGGAACTTACAGAGGTTGGTATTCTTTACTTACATAATTAGTTATGTATGTTTAAATTGACAGCATTGGGGTATAGTTTTGGTTTGTTATGCAAATGTTTAATGTAATTAGTTGCATAATATTATGTGTTATAAAAGCTGGACTATAGAGTTTCTACTTTGTTGATATCCTACATCGACTTAGATAGAGTTTATAAAAAGTTGGACTATACTCACTTCACTAGCTAGCTTTTAGAGTTGAGTTAAGTCAGTCCAAATTTAAAATGGTATCAAGGTTTTCCCATGCAATAAAAGACTTAAATATGTTTCTATATAAGGATGAAAAACATAAAATGGGTATATTATAAGGACTATAATCATATTTATGCCTAAAAGAGACTAGTTCTACAACCTCCATGTTGTAGGTGTTTTAAGATCCTATATTGACTGTATATATGACCAAAGTAGAGCTTATAAAGTCTTAGGGAATCCTCACCTCATGAACTACATCTGAACTGTCAATATTACTGCTTTATGATATCATAATTTGAATTTTTTTTTTCAGTCCCTGCATGAGTTTTTAATGAGTTCAAGTTTTTCAAATTTTCATGGATCCATTTGTCATTATTGAGGACTAAAATTGTTGTGATAAAAATCTTGGGAGAACCACACCACAAACAACTAGCCATTGTAGTTGGAGAGCCCAAGCTGTATAAACTCCATACTAGAATCTTATACTTACAACTTAGGACTGAAGTCTCATACCTTGCTATTGGATTCTACCTAAGACTATTCTTCTTACCTTTTTGGTTAAGTTCATAAGCATTCTTAGTGGACTACCTCTGGACAGAATATGATGGCTATGGAGTCATCATCTGTTTATAAAGTTGGAAACTTTGCTCCCATGGACCAACTAAACCCATGACATTTGAAGTAATCATGTAGCATTGAATGGATTTTTATTCAATTTATTAAAATAGGAATGCATATTTAGAATAAACATTGTTCACCAATTTGATTTGTAGTGAGTTTAGAAGCATGTTACTATCTATTTTGTCCTCTTTGCATGCAGGTACTTGGAAATTTATGGATACTACAAATGGTTCTACCAAATTTCCAGACATCAGAAGAATAAATGGAAATTCTGTAATTGAATTAGTTAGTGTGCCCACAAAGATAACCGGTGTACATTATGTGCAGGTGAGTTGTTGAGTTATATGAATAGATTCAGAAGGAAGTCAGCTTCACACGTGATACAGTTTCATATCTGTTCTCTTGTATATTTTAAAATAACATCATCTTCTAATGAAGAAGCTTCTAAGTTCCACCTTAAGTGTTTAAATTGTATTCACTTACATTAATACTGTGAATAATTATTTGAAATATCAAGGGAATGAAAGGATCCTTTAAGCTAGTGAACTTTCAGTTCTGTACTCCTGATATGATGAAGAATTAAGCAAAATATCTCTTCTCATTCTGTTTTCCTTATACATTACACCATTCCAATTTAGTTGAAGATAATCTGTCAATTTAGTGTAACGTATTGTGCTACTCATACAAGTACAGCCTAATGAAACTTCAAACATAACAAAGATTCTTAGCACATAAATAAACCTAGTATTCCAACACTCAGTATGCAATGGATGCATTGAAGAGTTGGTTTTTTGGTAAATGAATCAATATTTCAAACTCATTTGACGGGGCCTTATTCAATCTAATAAAATACTTTTGTATAATGGCATGAAACCATGTCTTGAAGGACCTCAAGAGTCTGTCATCATCAGAAAGGAAATAAGCTCTACAGATTTTAGATATGTTAAGGGATCATATTTTGTACAGTAGCAGTCACTGTTATGAATCAAGTGTATATGGTTGGAAAAGATTTTTGATGGTCAAGTGTTACCTTTTGGATTTCTTTTGTGACAGGGTTGATTACTAAGTTTATTTGTGGGGTTATCTGAAAGGTCTTTTTGAGGAGAATGTATTTGGCAAATATTCAGAGAACTTGATGTGCTGCATGTTTCATGCTTAGTCTCTTTTCTTATTATTTTTTTCTTTCCCAGTGTAGTTTTCAGTTATTTCTGAGAATTCATATCCTCTCGATTTTGTCTTTCTCTTTTCTATCCTAATAAATTATTTGTTCATGCATAAAAATGAGTATTTTGAATATCAATCTTTCATTAAACTTGTGTATGAGTATGCATTTATCATTATTTAATCTATGGTTGAACACCATATTTTGAGATCATGAAACCAAATTTTGTTGCACTAAACAACAATACATTTTTGTGAAATTCTCAATCATTTTCCCTTTTTTATGCTTATTTATTAGGGGGTAGTCATATTCCATGATGTATTTGACAATGAATACAATGTTGGTGGTGCTCAAATCAGAGTAGAAGGTGTATATATATGGCCTTATCGGCAGCTTCGAATGGTAGCCAACAGGTGAACACCAGTATGATTTGGAGCTCAATTTATATGCTACCTTATTGTATTCAGATACCTACGGCATTGTGTCTATGAATGATCTATTTTTTCTCCTGCGCTAAATCATTTTAGTAATAATATTTGCGCATTGCTATGTTTATACCTTCCTTTTCTTGCTACTGCAGTAACAATTATTTGCATAGGGAATTGGATTTTAATAATGAAAAATGGGCAATTAAGTATAAATTGCTAATTCTGCATTGAGAACATAGTACGCACTGGTACTTGAAAACATTAGTTTAGCATAAAACTAACTGTGATCAACTGCTTGTAAAACAGAGTGAAAAAAAAAATTAATCAAGAAAAGCTCATCTTTTGTTTGGTGCTATAGTACTTCATTAGTATTATTTAAGACCTGAGTCATATTTCAAATCTATCTATAGGAAGTTCTGAATTCAATTTCATACAATTTGTGAAATACATTTGGAGTTGTAGAAGCTATCAACACCCTCAACTTTATCTGACATATTTGTTTTCTAATGTTTTCTAATGTGAGAGATTATGGAATAGTTTTTGTTAGACATTATTTGATATTGTTAAGATATTGTTAGATATTGTTAACCACAATATCAAATAATATCTTATGTTTATTTTGTTACTTTCAGTTACTCTTTTAGTTGTATCTCTCTATTATAAATAGATTACTCTATGTGTGATTTATACACAAGGGAGATTAATCTCAAACTCTATTTCTTCTATATTCAACATGGTATCTAGAGCTTAAGGTTATTTTGAAATTTTTTTCGCCTTTGACCACTGTTGGAGCCGTCACCACCACCGCTATCGTTGCCGGTTAAACTGATCTTCCACATAAGAAAATAGTTATTTTTGTTATTGGATATTATTTGATAGTGTAAAAGTGCATGTCTAGGAAGGTTCTGACAAGGAAAGACTTGATATTTAAGCGTGTCCATTAGTGTAAAAGTGCATGTCTGGTGTATTGGTTCATGCTGCTGTCATTGTCGCCTCCGCCTTTTATGACTTCTTCCGCTCTTTCTAGTACTTCCAATTCTGTCAGTACTACGTCTGACCCTTCCATCTACACTAACTATGTTAATGTGCACTTATCCATTGACAAGTTAACTGTCCCTAATTATGCCACATGATCATCAGACGTCAGATTATGGCTTAAGAGTCAGAAGTATCTTGATCATCTTGACCCGAAAGCACCTACTCTCACTCCTGGTGAGGAAGACCGTTGAGACACCATTGATGCTCAATTATGTGTGGTTCTCAAGGGTACTCTTGATCCTTCGTTAAAACAAATTTTTCGTTCCTACGAAACATGTGCCAAAATCTGGGAACATGCCAAGTTATTATACACCAATGATACTCAACGTCTTTATGATGTCTGTTCTAAATTTGTAGATGTTATTGCCTCTAAACATCAAGATTCTATGACTGATTATATGGGCAAAATTCATGCTCTTTTTCATGAGTTCAATGAGTTATTGCCTCCTTCCCCCGACCCTGCCACTGCGATAGCACTGCGATAGCACAACGATCAAAGTTCTTCATGCTAGGGGCATTACACGAACTTGCTGATCAATATTCACATATTCATGATCAGATTTTGGGTTCTCCGGTTGTCCCCACCTTGACATCGACCTGCTTCACTCTTTTGCGTGTACCAGCAAAACCCAACCCTGACACATTTGCTTTTGTTAATGATTCTTCTGCATTGGTATCTCATTGTGATGACCAAACTCGCCCTCACAAACAGAGAAAATAGCATCCTAAGTGTGAACATTGTGGCAAACTAGGTCACAAGATTCACCAGTGTTATGCATTACATGAGTGTGAACATTGTGGCAAGCTAGGTCACAAGATTGATAAGTGTTATGCATTACATGGTCGTCCTCCTCGATCTGTTGCAGTTGTTCAGACTGATTTTTCCCCACCTTTATCTGCTAAGGATCCTCCTTCTATTTCATCAGACACACCTGCTATGTTCAACAAATTTCTCAAATGGTATAAGAATCAACAGTCTTCTAGTTCCACTGTGTCTGTCGCACAGACAGGTACATCTTTTGCTGGTCTAACCCAATCTTCTTCTGGTCCTTGGGTTTTTGATTCAGGAGCCACTGATCATATTATTGGTAACAAATCTTTGTTCTCCTCTTTATCCTCTCCTAATCCTTTACCTTTTGTTACACTGGCTGATGGCTCTAGAGTATCATCTCATGGTGTTGGAACTGTTAAACTTTTCCCTTCTTTAACCATTGATAATGTTCTTTATGTCCCTGGGTCTCTTTTTAACCTGTTATCCATCAGTCGTCTAACTCGTTCTCTTGATTGTGTTGTTTCTTTTACCAACAATTCTGTGTGTTTATAGGACCGGAGTTCGAAACAGGTGATTGACACAAGATGTGAGTCTCATGGTCTTTATCATCTTCGTCCCTTTACACATGTTGGTGCAGTTATAGAGTCTCCCTCTCTTCTCCATGCTCAGTTAGGTCATCCAAGTCTTACAAAGTTACAGCAGCTTGTCCCTGCCTTATCTAAGTTGTCTAGTTTGGCATGTGAGTTGTGTCAATTAGGCAAACATAGTCGTACTTCCTTTCCTCGTAGTGTCACACGTGGTGCTTCGACCCCTTTTGCTGTGGTTCACTCTGACATTTGGGGACCTAGCCGCGTTAAGTCTACTTTAGGTTTTCAATACTTTGTTACTTTCATTGATGATTATTCCAGATGTACTTGGTTATTTTTGATGAAAAATCGTTCTGAAGTATTTCATATCTTTCAATCTTTTTTTAATGAAATACAAACTCAGTTCGGTGTTTCTATTAGAGTTTTGTGCAGTAATAATGGTCGTGAATATCTTTCTCATTCTTTTAAATAATTCTTGGCTTCTCATGGTATTTTGCATCAAACTTCTTGTGCTTATACACCTCAACAAAATGGTGTAGCTGAACGTAAAAATAGACATCTTATTGAAACAACTTACACTCTTTTAATTTGTGGAGAAGTTCCTCAGCATTTTTCGGGTGATGCTCTTCTTACTGCATGTTATCTCGTTAATCGCATGCCATCTTCGGTTTTAGATAACAAAATACCTCATTCCATTTTATTCCCTCATGAACCACTTCATCTCTTACCTCTAAGAGTTTTCGGGTCTAATGTTTTGTTCATAATTTCAGTTCTGGTCTTGACAAACTTTCTCCTAGATCACATAAATGTATTTTCTTAGGGTTTACAATATCACAAAAAGGATACAAATGTTTTTCTCCTTTTCTTAACCGTTATTTTGTGTCTGCAGATGTCACCTTTGATGAGTTCTCTTTTTATTTTAAAAGTCAATCTTCACCTCTGTCTCCATCCAATCTTGTCAACACTCCTAGTATATTTAATGTTCCTGTTGTTTGTGACCTCTAACTATGTCTTCTTCACCATTAGTTTCTGCTCCGCAGTCAGCTTCTTATTCACCGCCTCTTCAGGTTTATAGTTGCCGAAACCAATCACAAACACCACCATGTGACTCCACTCAAGTGTCAACTACTCTATTTCCTCCGGATGTGACACCTGAGTTTGACCTTCCCATTGCCCTCCGAAAAGGTATTCGTTCTACACGTAATCCCTCTCCTCATTATATTGGTTTGAGTTATCATCGACTGTCATTATCTTTTTATACACGTCTTTCCTCTCTTTCTTCTATGACCATTCCAAAAACTGTCCGTAAAGCTTTAGTCCATCCTGGTTGGCGTCAGGCCATGTTAGATGAACTAAGTGCTCTTCATAATAGTGGAACTTGGGAATTAGTCTTGTTACAATCTAGGAAATCTGTTGTTGGTTGCAGGTGGGTGTTTGCTATCAAAGTTGGACTTGATGGTATTATTGATCGCCTCAAAACTCGTCTTGTAGCCAAAGGTTATACTCAAATTTTTGGGTTGAATTATGGAGATACCTTTTCCTCCGTGACAAAGATGACTTCTGTTCGTTTATTTATCGTCATGACCGCTCTTCAACAATGACTTCTTTATCAACTAGATGTTAAAAATGCTTTTCTCAATGGTTTTTCAAGAAGAATCTATATGGAGCAACCTCCTGGGTTTGTTGCTCAGTGGGGGTCTTCTGAGATGGTATGTCGTCTTCGCAAATCCCTATATGGCCTAAAACAGTCTCCTAGAGCCTGGTTTGGAAAGTTTAGCAAGGTTGTTCAACAATTTGATATGACACGGTGTGATGTAGATCACTTTGTCTTTTATCGACACTCGAGTGCTGGATGTGTTTACTTGATAATATAGGTTGATGACATCGTTCTTACAGGTAGTGACAATCATGACATCTCTCAGTTGAAACAATATCTTTGTCACCATTTTCAGACCAAAGATCTTGGCAAACTTAGATATTTCATGGGTATTGAGTTGACATAGTCCAATGATAGTATTGTTATATCTCAGAGGAAATATGCCATGGATATTTTGGAGGAAACTGGGTTGATGAGTTTAAAGTCTGTTGATACACCTATGGATCCCATTACTAAACTTCTACCAAATCAAGGGGAGCTTATACATGATCCTGAGCAGTATAGAAGATTGGTTGGAAAATTGAATTATCTTACAATTACTCGTACTGACATTTCCTTTGTAGTTGGTGTGGTAAGCCAATTTCTTAATTCCCCGTGTGAAGATCATTGGAATGCAGTCATTCGTATCTTAAAGTATATTAAAGGATCTCCTGGAAAAAGGATTGTTATATGATTCTAATAACCATACAAGAGTTGTTTGCTACTCAGATGCTGATTGGGCAGGATCTCCTTCGGATAGAAGATCTACGTCTGGATACTGTGTCTCCATTGGTGGTAACTTGGTCTCATGGAAAAGTAAGAAACAAAGTGTTGTGACAAGATCTAATGTAGAAGCAGAATATAGAGTTATGACCTCAGCTGTCTGTGAACTTGTTTGGCTCAAGCAATTGCTTAGAGAGTTACAATTTGAAGATGTCAGTCAAATGTAACTTGTGTGTGACAATCAGGCTGCACTTCATATTAACTCTAATCCTGTCTTTCATGAAAGGACCAAGCACATTGAGATTGACTGTCATTTCATTTGAGAAAAGATTATGTCTGGAGACATCAATACTGAGTTTGTTAACTCAAGTGATCAATTAATAGATATTTTTACTAAATCTTTACGGGGGCCTAGAATTGATTATATTTGTAACAAGCTAGACACATACGATTTGTATGCTCTAGCTTGAGGGGGAGTGTTAGATATTGTTTAGATATTATTTGATATTGTTAAGATATTGTTAGATATTGTTAACCACAATATCAAACAATATCTTCTGATTATTCTGTTACTTTCAGTTACTCTTTTAGTTGTATCTCTCTATTATAAATAGATTACCCTATGTGTGATTTATATACAAGGGAGAGTAATCTCAAATTCTATTTCTTCTATATTCAACCGTTTTGATTTAACCTCATTTTTTGGACCTTGCACTACTTTTCTCTGCATACCCTGTTAATTTGACAGACAAGTTGGAATAAGTTATCATGATTGTTTAAATTTAAATTTTATTTTGTTCCTATTTTAATCTTTAATCATGAATTAGTTTATTAAAGCTGTGTTGTTTGTTGAGTTATATTTATTTGTTAATCAAATTAATTTACAATTCAAATACTGGTGCTAAGCCTATAATATTTAATTGTGTGGAATAGTTTCTTTATTATTTTTTCTAATTGCAGTGGAAAAGATGGGGGACTAAATCCGGATGGAGACTATATTTTATCCAATCCATATCATCTGGTATTGTCTTTTTTCACGAGAACATGTTTATTTTCTGTATAATTGACATTTCATAGAGTCCTGAAATTTAAGGATGGTATGATCCAAAAGTCTCTTAGCCTTTTCATGGGCTTGATTTTATTTGACATCATAAGTTCATCTGTTGTAAAGAAAGGAGTTTTTTATGTGTATTATAATTACAATCTTAAATCATGTCGATACGTTAGGATGGATAAAAACTATAGGCACTAATTCTATTCATCAAATAGTTAATCTTTGCTTTGATAGCTTAATACTCAATTTTTTTTTAAACTGTAAGTATTTTCGGCTGTGATATTCTTCTACCACCGTTCGATGTTCTCTAATAAGGCCTCATTTTTAAATGCATTCTTGCAGCTTTAAATGTTAAAATTGTCTATACTAAAATTACTAAATGTTAGAATCCCTTTATATATCTCCTCAAAATTATGCTTGAGTAAGCATAATTTACATGCTTGTCATTATCTCAATGGAACCATTTTTTAGGAAAGAGGTTAGGGGTCAGCCATGACCTGACCCAAAAGCTCTGATAAAAGGAGAAAGAAAGTTCAGCAATATATGAAATAGTGTGTTATTTCTGTTTAGACAGCTATGGAGAGGAAGTATAAGTTGACCCTTTGTAGGGTAGTTAGATTCAGTGAATAATTTACTTTGTTGTAACAGGGTTTGTTCCCGGTGAGAAAGGAGAGGGCTCCTTTGTATACCATACTTCAAAAATTAAGACGATAATATTTCTGTACTACATATATTTGTTTCCCTCTAAGATAAGGGGATTCCTAACCTAACACCATTTGAGGAGAATGAGTGCTACCATTTATGATTGTCATTTAAAAATATAATTTTTTTATTTGGGAGTACAATGAGCATTATGAGTACTTAATTGCAATACATGACTTTCTGAATACAGCTTGGAGTTTTCTCATCTCAAGTATTCCAAGAATCTTCGAGACAAAAGATGTGGAGAAAAAAGCATTGTAATTATCTACTTCACCAATATACTTTGAAAGAATCCCCCTCCCCCAACCTTGTTTGTTTTCGTCATATTACTAACTTTCTATGTTTATGTTTTGCCCATAATGCAGCTCCATTGCATGGCATGGAGAAACATTGCAATGTAGAAATCGCCGCACAGGTTTCACGCCTGTCATCATCAAAACATGGTACTTGAGTTCTCTCAGCGTATGAACTACTTTCTGTTCCTTTTTGTTTCGCTTCTCAAAGATACTCATTGAACGTTATATTTCATTTTCTTTCCCTCCAAATTTCACTAAAATGTAATATTGTAACATGAGATATTTATTTCCTGATTCTGTTTTTGTACAGGTTTATTCAGAATTATTTTCTGAAATTAATTTCCTTTATTTCTGCAATTAGGATTAAGACAGAAAATTAACATACTTTTTGCCAACTAGTTTAAAATTAATTAGTAAGCCTATATATTCGTCATCTTTCAATTTTCAGTGTTATTGCCCTGTGTAAGGTCTTGAAACAATCTGTTCTTTTTCTTACCTTTTCTTGAAAATTTCCATTCAACCACAGATTAAGATTTTCTTTATCAACCTTCTTAACTTCCTTATACATCTCATCTCAAATGAGGTAAGCACTACCTTGTGATTTATCACCCCTCCAATAATTACTTTCAAGTCAAATGTTTATCACCTTGCCACCACGTGATTCTTGCATTTGTAACTTATTGGTTTTCTGTTCATGGATGTTAAAATAACCAACAATGATCAAGACTCTGCTGCGTGTTGAGACTTTCTTGGAACCACACAATTCTTACAAGCTCTATCCCTTACCAAAAATAAGTCATTTCCACACCTTGAGCACACTTATAAATAGAAGTTCCTCCAACCTTAACAAGTGTGCATAATCCTGAAATCATATGCCATTGCAACATCAAGAATAGACTATCCACTCTCCTTCATCATTTAGATCTCTAAAACCAAAATTACCACGAGTTTTTATAGTTACCTAACTACCAAAATACTCATTTAGATCCCTGCCTACAATATTATATTCCTCTTGTTGAAGTCTTGAATTAACCATCGAAATCATTCTAAAAATTTTCTTTCAAAAGTGTTTCCGATTCTACTTTTGGTGCCTAAGCACTAATGATACTAATAGAGTAATTTTAGGATAATCTGATTTTGATCATAACCACCCAAATATCTTATAATCTTTATTTGAATTTCAAATTTAAAATAAAAGTACATATACAAAAACGGTTCAGGATACTGATATACAGTATGTATCACTAGAATTTTCTATTTTTATATTCTTTATTCCAAATTTAGTCTTTCTTTGTCATTTCTGATTGAGGGTTTCCTTCTTTAGTTATTTACTGTCTCGTGCAGACAGATGGGCTCCTCTTTTCATATTCTCTCTCCTGTTTCTAATAAAATGACTTGTTAGATAAAATTTGGAAGCCTGAATCAGAGTTTTACAAAGCACGTTATAGTGTCGCCATAGTGGTGTAGTAATGTGGAGATGCCCCTGCCCACTCTGCCCACTACAGACGTTGCTGTAGTGGAACAATTTAGTGTAGTGGTTGTACCCGACCAAATAACTGGTTGAATAACAGCCATGGCAGGCACTATAGCGATGCTAAATATTGATTCCAAAAATACCTTAGACCAGAGACATTAGGGCTTTTCTGGAGGGCTATTCTTGGGGTTTTACTTTTCAAAATTGATGTAATAATAGTGAAAGTGATAAAGAAGACTTGAATTTAGAAGATGATGAGTGAAAATGTGAAAATTCCAATCTAAGACACTGGTATTGACTTATGTTGAAGACACCTATGACTTTTTATTATTAATTGTGAATATTATTATTTTGAGTAATTGTTATGATTTTTGAAATTTATAAGTATATAGTAAAATTATATAACCTGTAAAAAAAATTAAAATAGCGGTTGTCCAGCTATACACCATCTTGTTATAGTGTTAAACATTGGCTTGAATGACCATGGTGTAATGTCAATAAGAAACTTCTGAGCAGATTTAATATCACAATTGCTGATTATTAATGAGTATTGAATATTAATTGCAGAAGAATTTTAGTATAAATTATGGCTCTTTTTTTTTTTTCAAAGTTCATCGAGTGCACTCTTACTACTATTGAAAATATTGTTGTTTATCATATGATTTACCAAGTTATTATATGCTTTTTTATAGAAGGGGAGCGTGATTCTTTTCAGCTAGTAGGATTAATGGAGAGTCCATCAGTAGATGACCATGGGGACTGCTTCTCGCCTTTACAGTTAAATGTGACATCTATTAACATTGAAGTCTACTATAATAAAGCAGTGAACTATACCTTGATGGTTACTTTTGTATCCTTCAGTCATGAACGTTCTTTCAACTTTACTACTCTGTTATTGTGTGTTTTCCTTTCTTTCAACTTTAAACTCTATTGTGCAGTATTGTATTATTTCCTTAATGTACTTGTACCAGATCTCATTTTTGCAAGTTCTTCTATTAATTCGGCAAATGGAGCATAGCAACACCCAATCTGTAAGAAATTGCTTCAAGCTTCTATTTGAAATTTCATGCTATAGATTTAGTGAATTGAATTAATGTAAATGATTCAATATTCAAATGAATCTACTGGACTATTTTTCATTATTATGAATCTGCTTCATGTCCATCCTTGCAGGGGGCTGCTAAGGTTTCAATATTAATGATTGGTCAGCAAGCTATAGTAGACGCTTATCTTTGCCTTATACATTTGACTGCGGGTATTCTAGTCGGTAAGTTGTCTAAATAAGGGCTAAGGATTTCATATAATCAATCGAGATTGCTCTACAAACAATTCTCTATCTGTCATCTTAAAAATCTCTGGTATCCTTGTAGAGTTTTGAGGTACCAATTTTGGGGATTCATAAAGTAGCAAAGGATCCATTTTAATTTGAAGAGGGCATTAAATTTTTTCTCTACACTTAATTTTGTTTTCTGGCCAGTTGACTATAGCTGCATTTGTATGGCCAGTGTGATTACACTTTGGTGCCCGTATCTCCCACTTCACCACACAAACACTGGTGCATGTCCCGCAAAAAATGTATATCAATCTTGGCATTGTACCCAATAGTGATTGGATATTTATAATTGGATTGGATGCTGTCTATGCTTTCATTACCTCCTTGCACTTTCAAATCAAATGTACTTGTAATCAATCCTCAAAATCAAATTAGTTCAATTACAACATCTAATTCCCAGAGCACCTCATTACATATACAAGTATTTAAATCTGTGCTATGTGAAGAGATCAATTATCATCTTTGGTTCATCATAGGGCACCCTCGTTGTAACCAAAAGAGAAGATTATAAAAATATTTATGTTCAATTTGATTTTAGTATATCATTATCGTTGCTATGATAGATGTGACTTGAGTGATCGATTATTCTCTTTATTTAAGCTTGTCTTATAAATAACTGTCGTTACTTCTTGCATGCAGAATCCTTGTTCAATGCTTTTGCAACTGCTGCATTTTTCAAGTTTGTGGTATTCTCAATATTTGAGATGAGATATCTCCTTGCCATCTGGAAGGCAAGTAGGCCTTTGAGCAATGGTGAAGGTTGGGACGCAATGAGGCGTGAACTGTCAGTTTTATACAGCCGATTTTGTAAGTACTTATTTAATTTAAGTTTCTTTTTGGCTATCTGATCTTGTTATCTCGTCTTTGTGGATATGCCCTATAGTCATTTGTTCCATAGGACCCATGATCATGTTATGTTGTTTTGAAGTGTAATAGTCTCTCTACATCTTAAGAGCGTGGAAGCCTGCCAATCCAACTTTGGGGTAGTTTATTTTTTATTTCTTTTTAAAGTTATGTTGCTTACTTGAAAATCAAAATACGTAGTGGATAATTAAAAGTATAATAAATGCAAGTTAAAATGCTGTTTTTGTCATCTATGATTTTCACATTTTATTTATTATATTTACTTTTACGCCTCTATGTGATGTATTCTTAGAATGTGTATATCCGAAAATGTTTTATTTCACTTGATTGTTCAAGCATGGCAGATAACTCAATTTATATATTTCCAATTAGTTCAACTGGTGCAAAGATTTCCTTGTTTGAAGAAGTGAGACTCAGATCTTACCTTCCTGTTAATCTTCTTTTGCAGATGGGATCCTATTGGGAGGCATACTGTTCATGTATGAATTTCACAATCATTTGAGACTTATTCTTCTTCTTGTATACTCTTTTTGGATACCTCAGATAATCACCAATGTTGTTCGTGATTCTCGCAAGCCTTTGCATCCTCACTATATATTGGGCATAACTGCTACTCGACTAACAATCCCATTATATATTTTTGGTTGTCCTTACAACTTCTTGCGTATAGAACCAGATCAGAGCTGGTGTGTTTGTTTGGCTATATTTGTTGGATTTCAAGCTGCAATTCTCTTGCTTCAGCACTATTTTGGCTCTTTGTGGTTCATTCCTCGTCAGGTTAGATCCAACTTGTCTTGATACTTTTTAATCACTTTTACTCATTTGATTTCATCGAACACCTCTAAATTGAAGTTGTCTTTTTATGAACATATTTACTTATAGCTGATGTTTAGTATTGATAATAACACTCATTGTTTTGGGTTCTTGTAGCTAACTTTTCAAGCATCACAATGCAGCTGGATGTTACCTTTTTACTTTTTACATATGCTTCTCTTATAGCTAACTTCATCTTTGTCATTTGCAGTTTCTACCTGAAAAATACTGCTATTATAGGAGGTTTGCTCAAGATACAAATCATGCCACAGACTGTGTTATATGCATGACAGCCATTGATCTTTCTCCAAGATCAAATGATTGCATGGCATGTGAATGTTACCTTTGTCTATTGAAATTAATCTTTAAAATCTGAATATAGCATAAGTTTAATGCACCATTTCTTCCACAGGTGACACCTTGTGATCATTTCTTCCACTCTGGTTGTTTGCAAAGATGGATGGATATAAAGATGGAGTGCCCAACATGTCGGCGCCCTCTTCCACCTGCATGAAGAGATTTCCAGTGTTCATATCAATAGGATCAACTCACACTGCCCAACTACATAATTTTGGTAATATGCTTGGTTCTGTACATTTTTGTTTATCTGATATAATCATTTAGCCTTTAATGAATTCTGATGCAAGAAAATGGCACATCTTAGAAATTCTGTAGTTTGATGTTTCCTCCTGATTCCATATGCTAAGAGTATGGCTCTCGTACATAATTTTGAAATGAAATGAACTCAACTATTTTTTTTCCTTTTTAAAACGTGAAAAATATACTTTTTCTTTTGTGAAAATGAGTAATTTTTTAAATTAGCAATTATTTCTTAGTTTTCTACTCTTTTCCTTATCTGTAGTCCCATGGTAGTCACTAGCATGATTTCATCTTAACTGTTAAAGTTTGCATTTTACAAACATTTTTCTTTTGCTTCTCAGGTTGGGATAGAACCGAATTGCATACGCATAATTACAACTTCAGTACAAGACTGAAATACGATACTTCTTACAATTGTATCATGCATCATTGGTATAATTTTAGATTTTTTTTTCTTTCAATGTTTATGTATCAATAATGTTGTACATTAGAAATTCAATATGATCTTCTTTTGACTTCTATTCTGTGCTTTTGGTTCATCTCTTTATTTTTCGTTCGTGCCAACAATTTTGATTTCCCACGCATGGTGTTGTTTACATTTAATTTAACTAAAAACTTCGGGTTTTTATGTAAAAATACTATCAAATGTTAAAGGCAAAGGTATTCATGTAAAATAGGGACAAAATATAAAGGTTTTCATTTTAACGCCAATGTAACTAGTTACAAGGGATTCGTATGAAGTTGATCATTCCTCTTTGCATTTTAACGCCAATGTAACAATTAACACAAAAATTGCATATAAAATGGAAATAAACTTACCATGGTGAAAAGAAGATGAAGGTCTAAGCGAGATGACAATTGGAAAAGAGAACATGGTGGAAGGATTGTGGAAAGAAAAAGGAGAACAATGATAGTTGAAGTGAAATAGAAAACGTAAGAAGAAATGGTAGAAGTTTGGAAAGGTTGCATCTATAAGAAGAGAAGAAAATAGGGTAGGAGGCTAAGTTGAAAACTAGAAATTGAAGGTTTGATCTTTTTTAGTTCTAATTTTTTAATATTTTTGAATCTTCGATAAAAAAATTTGACCAGTCTTAGTTCTTGAAATGATTGAAAGGTTTTTGTGGCAGTTTCAAACTGCTAGAACATGGTTGGAGAGAATGGTTAGAGTATATTAAACAATTTTGTCTCTTTGTTTCTCATTTGCCTCACTGGTAAACAAAACAAAAGGACTTGCGTTTCCAATGAGTATGCAACTAAACGGAATTCGGGAATTGAACTAAAGCTTTCATTTCTTGTGCATTGTGGATGAATTTGATTTAGTGACTAGTATTTGCAAGTAAGAAATTCTGTAATAGGTAGAATGTAAATTTTCATCTTTGCATGAATGCACTACCAAAACATGTGTCGTATTTGGAATATAGTACCTAAGAAAGTCAAATAACAATGACATTAAAAATCTAATTAATATATATACAGAAAATTGTTATCCATATTAATTAAACAAATTCCTAAAATATTATATAAAAACACACGGTGTAAAAGAAATAAATTATCATACATTTTAAATGTTTGGTTGGGATTATATTTAAATAAAAAAATCTATATTACTTGGATCTTATACTAATAATTTATAAATTATCGTAAGAATAGAAATAGGATAATATTATAATATATAGATTGGTAGGATGATACATTTTTATATTTTTAATATGTTATTAGGATTATTGGATCACTTTTTCTAAAATAGGATGAAATAAAATTATTTTTATATCAAGAGTGTAAAGGAGTGCGAAGAAAAAAAGTAGTGGGAAATGACCCTTTTCCCATTATCTATCATAAAACATGAAAGAACCACGATTTTCTAAAATAGGATGAAATAAAAGTATTGTTCCAGAAGATAGAGTGATCTCCTTTGAAGCTAGTATTTCCACAAAACGAGAGATATCTATGAACTCGCTCACTTCCTGTCAAATGAAACACTTTACAAGGAATAAGACGCATGACACAGTATAATACAAACACATTGAGCACACCACTTTATATCTACAAGATGACCCCCTAACTCATATTTGGACTTTTATTTTTCCTATTCATGTCAACACAAACACTTTACTTAAGAGTGGCTTGGCGCAAGAAGAGGTGCAGACATAGGCATTGCTGCAGGAATAGCAGCAGGTGGAACAGCCACTGAACCAGCAGAGACATTGCCCCCCACAACACAGCAAAGCTCAGAGCAATCAACTGGGTGTTCAAGTTGGGCATTGCATTCCTTTTGGCTCCTCTGCAGTGGCTTCTCTGGCAAACAGTTCCTTCTGTCATCAAAGGCTATTCTCTTTGATGTCAAGTTCTGACAAATACCCTCTTCCTCACAGAAGAAGTTGTAAGAGAAAGTGAAGTTTTCCAAGTTTGGCAACTCACAAACCCCCATAGGGACAGTGCCACTCATCATGTTGTGTGCCAAGTTTAGTTGCTCCAAGTGATTCAACCCTGCAAGGCTATAAGGTATGGGGCCAACAATGCTGTTGAAACTCACATCCAACACTCTCAGTTTGTAGAGAAACCCCACTTGCTGTGGCAAACAACCTGACAAACTGGTGTTGATTAGCACAAGCTCCTCCAAAGTGTCAGCAAAGTTTACTATGCTTTCTGGGAGACACCCTCCAAATTTGTTGTTGGCAAAGACCATGACAGAAGCTGAGCTTTTGCCTAAGTTTGGAGGAATAGAACTGCTGAAGCGGTTGTTGTTGACGAAAATGGCATCAAAGGTTTTGTTGAAGAGTTGAGGAGGCAATTGACCTTCAAATTCATTGAAGCGGAGGTCAAGGTAGTTGAGTTTAGGAAGGGACAGTACAACCAGAGGAAAGGGTCCAACAAACCGGTTGCTGCTTAGATCAAGCTCATAGAGTAAAGTAAGGTTGGTTAAGGACATTGGGAGGATGCCACAGAAGCGGTTGTTACTAAGGTGAAGCAGTGCAAGGTCTGACAGAAGGCCTATTTCATCGGGTAGAAACCCTGCTATGTCTCCAAAGTTAAGGTCAATGCCAGCCACAACTCTCACTTCAGGATCATCAAGTGAGGGGCCACAGTACACACCTGTGTAGTTGCAAACTGAAGGACCTACCCAATTGGCAGTGAAGTTATTTGGGTCTGAGTAGATCACTTGCTTCCATGCTTGGAGGCCAAGAAAGGCCATGTGAAGTCTTGAGTTCAAGGGAGGATTCTGAGTATATTGGGGCTTGTGATGGTTGTGACTATGCTTTGCATTAAGGTTGTTTACGAAACATGACAAGTACACAAAAACGAGGAATAACACACTAATGGTAAAGGAATAAGATGCTGAAGCTGAACCCATTGCTTTGAGATACTATGGCAATGAATGACTAATGAGTGAATCACTATATATGCCAATAAATAAGAGAAAATGGTATGGTCGATGCACTCACACTCCAATTATAAATTATCATATATATATATATATATATATATATATATATATATATATAATTACTATAACTATACAGAAAGTCATGCTTACTATATTTTCTGATTGGTTCACTGTATAGAAATTAAACTCGAAACTCTTTTATATCGCTTTCAGAATGTCATGTTCACATTTCAGATTAGTACAAACCAAGATGGTTATAGAATGAAATGATCCAAAGTTGGAAAACTAACACAACAACTTGTTAAAAGTGACGGTTAACCGTTACTAAAACCTACGAAAAACATACTTGGGGTTTTAGGTTGTTTTTCTGCCAATGAGTTTCTAGATGGCAGACATCATGGCATTGATGACAGATACGGTTTGTACTTACATACAAAGTCAACAGTGCTCTTGATTCTCTTTGCACTTGACCATGCGCATTACAAGGACTTATCTCCTTCCATGTAATTTTCGTAGTAGTTTGAGTGGAGTTGGAGAGGGACATCAAGAGAAGAAACTGTCTAAGAAGATGATCAAATGAGAATAGGGTTTTCTTTAAACCAAAGGGATGACAAGGAATTTTGTGTTAATCGAAGATTAGTCTCAAATTAATCTGCAAAGTCCTCTGTGGCAACCACCCCTGCTTCAAGATTGTCTACTGATGCTGGTTGAACTCTTGCACAACGAAATCATTACTTCGATTATTTTATCATGGAGTAAAACACTAACTTAGATTCTAAAATCTTCGGGATCAGTTTGATGTATCGCGATTCAAATAAGTAATTTTCGTTATTACATCAGTTTATCTTTAAGTTAAATTAACTCTGGAACTTGCTCAAGTGAAGGATTATTTATATTGAATAAAGTGGCAGACATTAATTTATAATTATTGAAGTTAGAAATTATGTTTATCCTTTTGTAATAGAAAAAATTATTTTAATTGATAATGTGAATTTGGAGGATTAAATTTGTTTCATAAAAAGATTTTTTGAGAAATTTCTTCAAAAAACACTTTTAAGAATTGTTTTTGTAAACTAAAATTAAATTAATTTATAGTTATATTTAATAACTTTTCCACAACTTCTTTTTTAACTCAAACATAACGAATTTTAACTTATAACAGTTTTATTTTATTTTATTTTCTCCTGTTTCATAAAAACTTTCTTCCATGTCCATAATAAAAGACTAAAGTTTTGGAACCATGTTGTAGTCTCCTTTTTGCGCCATTCCTTATCCCTGATTAATGTCTATGGATCGACTTGTTAATTTGATCATTCTAACATAGACTAATCTAAGCATGAATGATCAACACATTTTACCTACTGGTTTAAAGCATTCAACGATGAGAATGGAGTAATCATGTCTATCAATAGGTTGTTCCTTCTTGTTTGTTATTTTTCGTATGAGTTAAAATTTACAATATGTATAGTAATTAATTACTTTATTATGTTGAACTGTTATTGAGTTTAGTCGTATTAATTAATATGCCCTACAACTAAAGTTTGAAATATATATGAGTAATTTTTAACCTGGTTAGATATATTTCTAACAAAATATACTTGATTTACTATTTTATAATTTATTTCATTTTATTTGTTTATATGAACATTTGCTGAAGGAAACATATAATCATTGGATTAAAGTTTTGGTAAGAGTTGAGTATTTTTTTTTTTCAGTTTATATATATATTATGTCCAAATTTTTAAATTTATAATATTTATTATATTTAAAAATATATTTTTTATAGTAAAAAGTATTATGACATTAAAGTACACTAAATCTACATAATTACATATAATATTACATTAAAGATTTAATAATTAATATTAAAATATGTATTATTTCCTTATAAAATATATTGGTAAGACACTTATACATATAATCACTCTAATTTTCATTAAGACTTTTGTTTTCTATATTCTTTATTTTTTATATTGATTTAAGAATTAGAGTATTATTTTTTTTAGAGTCTGGTATAATAGATTTCAGAGCTACAGTTATTCTCCCATTCTGAACTTATTTATTATTGTATTTTTTTTTCTATAAGAATATATATATTTAAAATTCAATCAGGTCCTCGTAATATTTAAATTATGATAAAGTTAAATCAATGGAGTTTACATGTTTATTGATAATTGATAAGCAAAATTTTCTTCTTCATAAATTAATTATTAAACGCAATTTCGGGCTTAACTAAGCCAATAAATTCTTTAGGTTTGTACAACTTTAAAAAGAAAACAATTGAAAATAATATTTATCCTCCTAATTTCAGTATTTTCTAAAACTCACAGGGAATTCTTCATCGGGTATCATGTACCCATTCACCACAATAAAACAGAGTTGTTGAACGTGAAAACTATCACTTAATGGAAACAACTTGTGCCTTTTTTCTTCATTCGTTTTTTGGGGGATTTCATTCTTACTTCCTATCATTGAAGATGTTCATCTAGAAGTTTCACTTGTACTTTCAGTCTCACTTGTTTCAGCACCACTTGGTATTCTTCAGGCATGGTTTGGTTGTTTCACCTCAGTCGTGCTTGAGTTTGGTATTACTTGTGAAGCTGATCACTCAATCTCTTTCACCTTCATTCTCAATTTGAACTCTGCATCTAACATGATCATTTGTCTCAGGTCTCATTTCCATAGTTAATTTCAAACTCAGAATTTGGATCCACGCAGATAATTTCTCAACATTGAAGTTGGTCAATCATCCACTGGTATTGTCCTTTCTCAACGAAAGTATACCTTAAACATTCTCATTAAATTTGGGATGCTTGATTACCATCCCAGTGACACTCCTATAAATTCTAATATAAAACTTTTTCCAGGTCAAGATGAGCCATTGAAAACGATAGAAGATATCATCATCCATTGAACAACATCACATTTGCAATTAGTGTGGTTAGCCAATTCTTTAAGGATCCATGTGATGCTTAATGAAAACTTGTTATGCATATCCATGTGATGATTATTGAAAATTTATTGAAGGATCAATGCACCAGATCGTAAGTTAACATTAGATGAAACTTATCTGCTAGAGAAATAAGACGCATGAAGACACTAAAATACTCATGAGATTACACGATTTAGGCAACTACTCCAACAATTAAAATTTGAAGACACTCCAACAATCAAACAATTTTAAGAGAGTGTTCTTAAAGAAAAATATATATTCCAAATTGAAATTTCTCAACCAAAATGAAGATTTTTGTTCACAAAACTTTGATTTCTAACTTTCACGGCCCTAAATTTGGAAAATATAAACAAATATTTATCATCCCAAATTATTTCAAATGACAAGGGAATAAACATGATTATCCCATGAAATTGTCGTCATGATTTTAGCCGCCGCCAGATCCGTATTTCTTACCAAACAAAACGAGCTGCATCTTATCATAACCGGCAAGCACACCAGCACCGGCAACAGCACGCAATATGTTTGCACCAGCACCTTTGAAGAGTGACTTGGTACCTTCTTTTGCCACTATTGTTTGGAATGCATGCAAAGAGCTCTTATACTTCACAGCTTCTCCAGAAGTCATCATCATCCTTCTACGCACAGTGTCAATGGGATAGGATGCCAAACCAGCACCAATTGTGATACCCCATCCCAAAAGGAAACTAGCAAAGAAACTATCCTGTTAACCATATGAGTACCGTGGTAAGTAAACATAAAAATACATCACGATAAAAATGGAGCAGAACTTTATAAGTACAAATTCAAAGATATATTAGGCACTCATAATGGACAATATCTACAGGAAATAGGTATTTAAGATAAATTGTATATAGGCATTATGATAGGACAGGCTTAGGAAGGCCCAGACCTGACATTATTTTGACAAGACAATTTTTTCTAAAAAATATCTAAGCCCATCATTATAATCTTCTAACCATTTAAATTTAAGGACAAGTTTGGGCCTTCTTAGACCCATCTTATTCATATCATATTACTATGTGTAGTTAATATGTTCACAAGTGTCAAATACGCTAATAAATCAGTATTATTGTTAAACTATGTACAACCCATGCAGAAGCTTCAAATGACAAAATACACAATTATTCATGAAGCTGACATATTCAAAGTTTTTAACTAATTATTTATATTAAAGAAAATAATGCCTAAGAAACACAAATCCAAAGTGAAATGAGCCAAAGATGAGTGTTACTAACTTGACAAAATACAAATTAAAAAATACCATATCAGATTCAAATTGTGTACATACCTGCAACCCACCAACCAAAACAACTGGTTTAAGAGAATCATACATTCCAAAGTAGAGACCACGGTACACTATAATTCCAACACATGAAAGGTTGAATCCACGATAAAGGCCAGCGACGCCATCAGACTTAATAGTTTTCCTGTACACATCAATCAGGCCATTAAATTGCCTCTCACCACCCTTCTTTGCAGCCTTTGCATCGTTTGCTAAACGAGTACGAGCATAATCCAAAGAATAGACAAATAAGAGGGAAGAAGCCCCAGCAGCACCACCAGATGCCAAATTTCCAGCAAACCACTTCCAGTAGCCATCTTTGTCCTTTTTGAAGTTGAAAAGCCTCTTGAAGTAATCCTTAAAAGCAAAGTTGAGAGCCTGGAAGCAAAAAGAAGAATATTAGTATTCTAAAGATATAACCAAATCAGTGAAAATCCACAAATATTTAATATCATGCTCGAGATGTCTAATCCTTGGTGTGAAGAAGTGTATTAGAAATCCCAAGTTAACTAAAAATTACAGATATGATGTAGAGAAAAAGATAAAATATATATTTTGTGAAGGGATGTAAGCAGCAGGAAAGACATGACTAGATATTACTTAAATTTTTGCACCTCCAAAATATAAGATAATCTAGAATTAACAGGACAGAACTGACGTCTAAAAGAGATGACCAATTAACAGTCATTAGATTGCACATAGACGTCTGTACTGATGTGACACTGTACACATCTAGAGGGGAATATCGTGATACAAAAGCAGGAGCAAGGCTGAATGATTTACGTGTTTTTGAAAAGAAACACTGGCGCAATGTAAAAGAACAATCAAGCATTGTAAAAGTGACTATCAAAACAATAAAATCAGATGTGACATGTATTAATACAGGTATAACTTATATAGGCAAAAATATAATGGCAAAAATATATAGCCATCTGTAGAATTACTTAAAATCTTGATACAAGTTAGATTTTCACCTGTGTAGGGAAGTATCTGATAACATTGGCAGTATTGCCTCTCCAAAGAGCAATGACACCCTCATCCTTCATGGTTCGAGCAAAACAATCACCAATTCCCTTGTATGGTTCAGATAACCGACCACTTTTGATCATTTCATCCTGATTTTGGATAAGCAATTTGACTCTTTCAATTGGAGCAGCAGCTGTCTTCGATACAGCGGCAGACACTCCACCCATCAGAAAATCCACCATGAAAGCACCCGGTCCTTTCTCTGCTGGAGCGTGCACAGTAATTGGAGATACATATGACATGGCAGCCAACCCAGAAGTGTGCAGTCCTCCATTGAAGTAAGAACCTGTTGCAGAATAATTCTTGGAGTGAAAGTTGGGGCTTAGCTTGGACGCAAGGAAAGACTGTCCAGCTAGCTTCTGAACAGCTGATGGATGCTCCAGTTCATCAGCCATGATTGCAGCCTAGGTGGAAGCCTGGAAATATTCATATTATAACAATAAGCCATAGATTCAACAACACCAAAGTTAGAAAAATATCCTTACAAAATTGCCACTTCAAAAGAAAATTTAAAGTGTAATACACACTTGGCAACTCATTAAAAAACTACACACATCTTAACACAAAGATGCTTTACAAAGCATTCACAAAAATGTCCACATTTATACTGAATGTAAGTAGAGACACTGTAAATACATAAAAACAAAATCCACTATCAAGTATCCTCTTGTTAACAAACACATAAAATACAAAAGTAGGAAAATAATTTTCTTCATTGTAATAATACAATACTTCATTAACTTAGTATAATCATACACAAACCACACAAATACTGGAAACACATTTTCTTCTTTTTAACCCAGAATACTTCGTAACCTTAAGCTAATTATATGTAAATCTCGTGATCTTTGAAAAAACCTCAAAGGCCAGCACAAATAAGGAAGCATGGGGCATTCTTCATAAGTAGATACCGAGGGAGGGGGGACAGGGTAAAAAAAAAAACTCTTTTAAGAAAATATATTACGGCTTTTCTTAAAAATTTATTTGTTTGGATTGGTCCTTAAAACTAATTATCTAGTTCGACTTCTAAGACATGTATGGGAAAGCTGAGAAGACAAAGAAAGTGATGTTCCAATCTCTCGGCAGGCAGTATGAATTAATGGCCATGCTTGATCAAGAGTCCATACAAGATTACTTCAACAGGATGTAGTTGACAGTGACCTCAACGAAAGCTTGTGGTGAATCAAATTTAAATGAGAAAATTGTGGTGAATCAAATAAAATTGTGGAGAAGATGTTAAAGACTTTAACAACCGGGTTTGATTAAATAGTGGTTGCAATAGAAGAGTCCAAAGATCTATAAGAATTGAAAGTGTTAGAATTGCCGAATTCACTTGAGGCACATGAGCAACTCAATGAGAGGGCTAGCAAAAGAGAAGATCAAGTTCTGCAAACACAAACCTTCAAGAAGCAAACCAAGAATATGAAGAGATGGCAAATGTAGCTCAAGATGAGAATTCTAATGAGGATCTAGTTCTGTTAGTTGCAACCAAGGATGGAAATTCCCACTCAGAAGCTCGGTATCTGGACACCGCTTGTTCAAATAATATGACTGGCCATAGAGAGTGGCTACGTCAATTTGATGCAAGTAGAAGGACAGATCAGATTTGCAGAGAGCATAATTTTATTACTTCGAGACACATATGAACTCTAAATTTGAAATTACATATTTAGGCAACTTGGCATGCTTCCTTGGTTTAGAAATTTGCTGCTACCTCCAAGGTAATCAAACTCCATCAACAAAAGTATGTTAAAGTGGTATTGAAAAGATTTCACATGGAAGATTGTAATCCTACCAATACTCCAGTAGAGGTGCATTTGAGATTGGAGATTACAAAAGAAGTTGTGGATCCAATGTAAAAGCAACTAGTTGGCTCCTTGAGGTACCTATGCAACAGCAGACCTGTTTTGGCATCTGTTGTCGGGGTGTTCAGCAGATTCATGGGTGGTGATCCAAAGAAGTCTCACTTGTCAGCTGCTAAAGGTATGTTAATACTGGAGTACGACATCTTATTCTACACAAATGTTATTTAAATGTTATTTTGACAACATTTTTATAAAGACATCAGTCCATAATAATATAATATTGTTATTTATTATTATTTATAGTTGTTTGTTGGATGTATGGATTGAATTATTCTATATAAAGACAAATGATAAGACAATGGCGTATCTGACTCTGATTTTTGTGGGGACAAAATTGATAAAAGAAGCACCACTGGAGTTTTTTGTCCTCTTCTGAAACCGAATATACGATCATATGCTGCTTGTCAAGCAATCTGATAATATTCATTGCTAAGAATAGAAGGCTGGAGTGAAGAAACCTATTGAATTATTAGTTGACAAAAAGTCAACTATTAATCTGGTCAAAAATTCAATTTCTCATCGGAGAAGCAAACACTTGAAGACTAAATTTCAAGTAAGTGAATAATGGTAAGCGTGAAAGGACATATTGCTCAGCAGAATTCAGTTAGCAGAGTCCGAACTAAGGCAATTAGATCTGACAATTTTGTAAAACTTGGGAGTTAGGAGTTGTATCTTGTGAGTCTTTTTGGATTAAGGGGAATGTTGAAGTCAATCCAAATATTTCTGTTATATTTGTTGTTGAAACTACCTCTCTTCGTAGAGTTCTATATTAAGATAGATTGCAAATGTGCTTATGTAAATTTCAAAATATATACAAAGTTTCTTCTGTGATTCTTCGTTCTTCACAATCTGCCTGTAAGTGCGTGAAGTGTTTTGATCTTCAACAAGGTAAAGGAGATGATCGCATAGCAAAACAAGTATTATCAAAACGATTAGAAGTTGGAAGAAAGAACAGAAAATAGACGAAGAAAGAGGAAATACCTGAGAAGAGGCTTTAGATGAGAAGGGCTTTAGATGAGAAGGTGGGAGAAGGAAATAGAAGAAAGGTGAGACTATAAAGGGAGCAACTTATTGCACTACGGCTTTACATGTAATGACGGATCTACCCTTCGCTATTTTCTTTTGGCGGAAAAACTGAGGAGCGGCTGCGCCGCCATGCTGCCTGAACTGAAATTATGTCCAATTTGTGTTCTAATACTTCCAACAAATAAATATTTCAATAATCAAAATACGAAAAGACAAAAAAAAAAAAATTCCCAATATTTTGCACAAACCTATTGTTTATAATCCCAAGTAAAAACCCAATCCACGGGGATGTCGTTTTCTTTTTCTGTATTTAAAACTAGTTTTAAAACTCTTTATATTATTTGTATTTTAGTTTATATGTTGTAGATGATAGGTGTGTATTTTGTATGATTAAAATTTGTAATAAATAAATATATTTAATTTTATTAGTTATATTTTTATATTTATATTTAATCTTTTAATTGTGGTTCAAGATTATTTAAATTATTGACGTTTTAAAAATATTATTAAAATTTGCTTTGAATACATAATAAATAAAAAATGATTTCAAAGGATTCAGAGAAAATAATGCTTATTTGTCAAAATAGAACGTCAAAAAAAGAAGAAGGAAAAGTATACAAGTTTGACAGGTAAAAAAAATGAAAGATAGAGTCTTGTTCCATGAATTCTAATTTACAATGTAAAAGTAAATTATAAATTTTTAATATTTTAATTTACAAAATCATAAGTTCATAAACGTTAATACAATTAATAAAAATATGAAACTATAACAGACAAAAAAATAATATTTTAATTTTAGGAGTCATTATTTGAGTGATACAACATGCCCAAACTAAATAAAAAATGCACAAATTAATATAAAAGTAAATATACATATGAATTCTAAAAGTGTCATTTTTATACGTTAGACCATATGTAAATATACTTTTGTAAGTGTATTTTTGTTAGGATACAGTATTTTTAAAAATGTATATTTCTTAAACAAATTAAAATGCAGACGGTTTCTTAAAAAGGATAATGAATAAAAATTATTTTATTATTTTCAATTTATAAATCAAATCAATATTGAATTTTGAAACAAAATTAAGTGTGAATAAAAATTTGTAACAAAAATTGTTTAAATTTTTATTATTAAAATATTTTATATGATTTACATGATTTGACAAGGAGTATGATTAGTAAAAAAAGAAAAAAAGAAAAGAAAAGAAAAAGACGTGGTTGAAGAAAAAAATAAGTAAATAAGATGAGAATAGACGATGAGAAGACAAGAAAGTTGTCTAATTAAAAATAATAATAATAATAATAAATATAGGGTAAAAATCAAAATATGAATAAAATTTGATGAAAAATATAATTAAAATGTCAATTTTTAAAAATTACTTATTTCATATTTTCTTTTTAATATTAATACTTATAATTGATTAATTTTATTTTTATATAATTATTTTAAAAATTTATTAATAAATAAATTGATAAAGATTTTATTTATATATAAATATATATTAAATTTTATTTTTTTATAAATAAATGAATAAAATAATTTTTCTTTTAAAATATATTTTCAAAAACACAATAACAAACTTATTAATAACTAGACAAGTAAATATTGGTAGGAGACTTCCCCACTTAGATTGGATATCATATTAGTGTAACCATGACAATGAGGCGGAGGCGGGAGGCGGGGTGGGTTTTGCCTCCGATCCCTGTCATCGATCTCCGTCAGGGTTAAAAATTAAGTTTTCATTTTTGTCCTCATTGGGTTTCGGGTTCCCTGTCCCCGATCTATATTATTTTAAAAACGATAATTATATTTATAATAAATTAATTTTATTATCTATTTTTTATATATAAATAAATATTTATAATTTTATAATTATTATTAATTAAATATACATTTTAGTTTATTATATTTATATTAAAATATGTATGTAAAAGAAATATTTAATCATTTTTTATTTATAACATTATTATTATTATTATTATTATTATTATTATTATCATTATAACATTGTATTTAAATATTTGAATATTTATAATATTATTATTATAATATTGTATTCAAACATTTGATTATATATATAAGTTAATTCATTTTTAAGTTGTCATTTAAAAATATGAAATATATAGTTTATAAAGAAATATTTAATAAGTTAATTCTTATTCAATTAGTTCGAAGCAATAAAAATTTAAATTATTAATTCTTTTAATACTTTAAAATATAATTATTTTATTAAAATAAATTTTGATATATGATAAATAAAAATAATAAGATAAAAAATATGACATAATAAAACCTAATAAATATAAATTATAAATAAAATAATATTAGTTACTACTAAGATTTATGTAAAATATTTAGAAAAAGATAAAGAATAAAAAAATTAATTTTGTATTCATCAAATTGGTTGAAAAGATTGAAAAAACAAACAAATTGATGGGAGATATTAAGGAAATGTGAAAAACTGAAAGGTAAGAGAAAGAATAATGTAATAAATTAATTGATATAAAAGATTAAAAAAGACAACAAAATTAAAAAGTGGATAGAAGAAAAAAAATTGGTGAAATATAAAAAAAGATGACCTTATATGTAAAAAAAAAAAGAAATACTTTTAAAATATTAATATTTTAAAATTTAAATTTAAATATAAAGTCGGGCGCAGAAACGGAGTTGAAGTAGAGATTGTATTACCCATCTGCGTCCCCACCTCCGATATTTTAAAGCGGGAAAACCCGAACTCACCACGTCCCGGTCAATTCGAATTTTCTCTGTCAAACTCGGAGCGAGGACGGATCTATCCCCACATTTACGAATTTAATTGTCATCCCTATCTCGATGAATTTTAAAGCATAAATCGAAATCTAATCGATTAGACCCAACCACATGTAAAGAAATTAAAATCAAATCTACTCTCTTCTATTATTCTGTCTAGCAGTTGAGATGTCTACTACACATATAACTATAGTATTTTCAAAATTATTTTTAAATTATCAATATTAATATATAAAGAAAAAATAACAAGTTTTAATTTTAAAATTGTCCTCAACTCTACATAGGAGAAAAAAAAGGAAGACATTTCGTAACATCTATTATTTATAAACTAAAATAATTAAAACTTCGTAATGTACAAAATAAAAGGAAGACCAAGTATCATAGAACTTTACCAAATAAAGAGAGAATTAAAAGAACCCAGAAGTTTATAGATTATTCGAACATGATGCACATAGTAAACAATTAACATAACGCAATATACAATATACAATACTACATGTGTTTGCACATATGTGGGTACACCCATTACTTAAAAAAAGGTCAAATCTCTGACCTTATTCAAAGTACAGAAGACAAAAATAAATTCAGGGTCTAATGCGTGTTTATACACAAAGGACGAGATTGTCTCTGTAGTGGATAAGAGTGCATCCAGCCTTCATTTAATTTGAAATGTACTTTATTCTTAACTTACAAAAACTGGTCTTTTCCCTAACTAATAATAGCATGTGTTACAAAACTTAAAAAAAAAAAAAACAAAGGACGTTCACCTTCTAAATCTCTTTGATTGCTAGCAAGATGGTTAAAACAAAAGTGGGGGTGTCATGATCTTGAAACATTAAGAAGAACACATGGAAGCCCTTTGCTTTGAGAGTAACTCCTTTAGTTTCTTTATAAGCTGGGGATTGGAGCCCATATAGTCTTGAAAGGACTTCTTCAAGTCCTGCAGCAAACTCCTATCATCATCATGGGGGTATTGGTTTAGCATCTTAGTGAAGAAAGCCTTCCATAGCTCAATGTTCCAGTAACTGTTTTGTTCAACAAGCAAAATATCAGAATGAGAAAGGAAGTTGACGATGAAAGAAGGGTACAAAGCACTTCCATTGTGGCATTAGATTTTCCAAATTGACTATAATAACCAGGAAACTGTAGAGAGGCAAATTCCATACAACGATCCCCTTATAAAAAATCGCAGTGATAAACAAAAGTAATAACTCCATACAAAAGAACTTTAAGAATATACCGTTTAAAGGGTAATCTGGGAAGATACACGTAGCCCCCATCAGATTGTTCTTTTTTGACAACCTCCATATAGGAACTATGCAACATCATATGAACAATAGCACAGAGGCCATATGCATCTACCTGTTAGCAGGTGATAGAGAAGGGAAACTCAAAAGGCAGTAAATAATCAGTTCCATTGCATTTGTAGAGCAATTTAAGAGGTGACGTGCCTGAAATTTCCACGGCTTATCCTCTAGCATCTCAATGCAGCGAAAACCAGAAGTTTTGCAATCACCCTTAAATAGTGTGTGATCAGGAAAGAGTTTCAGATCAATTCCTCTTCCCCAGTCAACAAGGCAAAGACCCTGCAAGATAGAACAATATGCATCGTCTATTAATGAAACCAACAAAAAATTCTCATTGTATAATCGGGAGAAAAACTAACCTGATCACACCAAGGACCACTTCGGTTCAAGAACCCATCTTCTGTAAGGTCACCCCTCGAAAATAGCAAGAAATGTAATTAGAACTCTGAAACTTAGATTAACTGAAATATGATTTTTTATTATATCAATACAAAGAGATGATATAAGATATATACAGGAGACCTAAGCTATTTTAAGAAATATAATAACTCTATTTTATGCTAGGATCCCTTGACTTATGGGATTGTTCCTAATTATTCAAATCTGTACAGATTACAAGGAAATATACAAATTTCCTAATTTATTCTTTCCTAAAATACTATTTGATTTCTCACACTCCCCCTCAAGCTGGTGAATAGATGTTTTCCATTCCCAGCTTGGATACAATCTTCTCAAAATTATGGCAGCCCAGTCCCTTGGTAAGAATGTCTGCAATTTGATCTTGAGAGGACACATATGGAGTGCATATCAAGCCACTATCAAGCTTTTCTTTGATGAAGTGTCTGTCTACTTCAATATGCTTTGTTCTATCATGCTGCACTGGGTTGTGGGCTATACTGATTGCTAACTTATTATCACAATAGAGCTTCATAGGTTCTTCCCACTTTATCCTCAAGTCTTCTAAGATGATTTTAAGCCATAGCAACTCACATATACGTTGTGTCATGGCTCGGAATTCTGCTTCAGCACTGGACCGAGCCACTACACCCTGCTTTTTGCTTCTCCAAGTCACAATTTCCTCCAAGAAAGGTGCAATATCCTGTAGTTGACCTCCTATCCACAATTGACCCTGCATAATCAGCATCAGTATAGGCTTCAAGCTTCACATTACCATTCCTTTTGAATAGAATCCCTCTTCCTGGAGTTCCTTTAAGGTACTGTAAAATTTTGTGGGCAACTTGTAAATGGGTCTCCTTTGGGCTATGCATAAATTGGCTAATTAAACTCACTGCATAGGCAATATCTGGCCTGGTATGCGACAAATATATAAGTTTGCCCACTAATCTTTGGTACATATCTTTTTCAACAGCAACATCTTCTTCTGCATTTCCAAGCTTTAGGTTTGGTTCTAATGGGGTACTAGCAGGTTTGCAAGCTGCCTTGCCAGTTTCCTTGAGCAAATCAGTGATGTATTTCTGCTGAGATATAAATATCCCTTTCTCGGAGTGGGCAACTTCAATTCCCAAAAAATATTTTAGTTTTACTAAGGTCTTGATCTCAAATTCCTTACCTAAGCATTGGCTCAATAATTGTTGTTCTTCTTTATTATCTCCAGTTAATATTATGTCATCCACATACACCAATAATATTGTTACTCCCCCTGACTTGGAATGTTTAAACAACAAAGTATGATCCCCTTGACTTCGTTTGTAACCCAGACCTGTCATAACTTTAGTAAACCTGCCAAACCATGCACGGGGGGACTGTTTTAACCCATATAATGCCTTTTTCAACTTGTAAACAGTGTTGACAGCAACATCTTTACCATATCCCGGAGGTATCTCCATATAGATTTCTTCTTCAAGGTCTCCATGTAGGAAAACATTCTTAACATCAAGTCTGGAAGAATGGGAAAACCAGAATTACTATTTTCCTTATCTTCCCTGAAACTCTCCCCCTGAAGATAAGGTTGATGGAAATAGTCCTCTTGTTCATTGAAGGTAACATCCCTAGACACATAATTTTTTGGATGGGGGGTGGTAGCATTTATACCCTTTTTGAGTGGGTGAGTAACCAACAAAGACACACTTTAAGGCTCTAGGATCAAGTTTCCCCCTGTCTGTACTATGAATATAGACATATGAGATGCACCCAAAAACTCTTGGTTTAAGATTATTTGTAGTAGACAAGTTTGGATAGAAAGACGACAAAACTTTCATAGGGCTTTTTGATCCTAAGACTCTAGAGAGTAGTCTATTGATAAGGTATGTTATTGTAAGAACAACTTCCCCCCAGAAATTTTTTGGGACACTTTTTTGGAACAACAATGCCTGAGTCTGATTTAATAGATGTCCATTTTTCCTCTCTGCGACCCCATTCTGTTGTGGTGTTTTGACACAAGAGGACTCATGAATTATACCTTCTTTTTGACAAAAAGAATTAAGGACATGATTGAAGTAATCTTCGGCATTATCTGACCTAAGCCTCTTAATATTAACACCAAACTGATTTTTTCTCATGGAGTGGAAGTTTAGGAAGACATAACTGACTTCTAATTTTTGTTTAAGTAGGAAAACCCAAGTGACCCTTGTACAGTCATCTATAAAGGTGACAAACCATCGAGTACCAGTACACATTTGGAATATTAGAAGGTCCCCATACATCAAGTATGAACAAGATAAAAAGGGAAATTGCTAATTCTATTACTTATTGGAAAAGATATACGTTTGTGCTTAGCAAGTTCACACACCTCACAATGAAGACTCTCAACATCTAACTTGGTAAACAGAGAGGGAAATATAATTTTGATCACTCCAAAAGAGGGATGTCCCAACCGACAATGATAAAGCATGATTTTTTCTCTGTTGGTCATCAAGGATTCAGATATGAAGGAGTGAGAGATTCTATTCTTGCTGGGCAGACTTGGATCTTCGAGATAATAAAGGTCATTCCATTCTCTAGCATGTCCAATCATCCTCCCCGAATCCTTGTCCTGAAATACACAATGATCGTTGAAAAAAACAACTTTACATGACAAATCCTTTATAAGTTTTTGTATAGACACTAGGTTCGTGGACAACTTTGGGACATGGAGAACATCTTTTAAGGTTATTAAAGGATTGATTTGGATATTTCCTTGACCAGCTGCAGTTATAAGGGTTTCATCTGTTGTGTCAATTTTCTTGTTGCTGGGACATGGGGAATATGTGGAGAAGTGTTTGGCTAATGGTGTCATGTGATCTGTGGCTCCAGAGTCCAATATCCAATAATGGTTAAAAGGCGTATATGAGACATTTAATCCAAAAGAAGGTGGAAACTTACCTGAGTATACCAAAGAACACACTAAGAACGATTTTCACCCTTTCTATCTCCTCTTCCCTTGACATTATAGCAAAAAGGTGTGATGCAACAACAATGCAAGTTGTCATCTTAGGAACAAGAAAAATGCATCAGCAATGCAGGCTGTCGTCTTAGGATTAAGAAAAATGCAGCAGCAATGTAGGCTGTCGTCTTAGGGTTAAAAAAAATGCAACAACAATGCAGGTTGTCGTCTTAGGGTTAAGAAATATGCAACAGCAATGTAGGCTACCGTCTTAGGGTTAAGAAATATGCAGCAGCAATGCAGGCTGCCGTCTGAGGGTTAAGAAATATGCAGCAGCAATGCAGGTTGCCGTCTTAGGATTTATCGCACGCAGATAGAGCTTCCTAGATCGGAAGCTTTGATACCATCTGGAAACTTAGATTAACTGAAATATGATTTTTTATTATATCAATACAAAGAGATGATATAAGATATATACAGGAGACCTAAGCTATTTTTTGAAATATAATAACTCTATTTTATGCTAGGATCCCTTGATTTATGGGATTGTTCCTAATTATTCAAATCTGTACAGATTACAAGGAAATATACAAATTTCCTGATTTATTCTTTCCTAAAATACTATTTGATTTCTCACAAGAACCATCAACAAATGCAAATCATGTAAGAAACTTGAAACAACATGCGGTTTCTAAAGCATGCATTGCACATCGTACAATGCTCAACAAATAAAAATCTTCTAGGAATTTGCAAGAAGGTCCTGTCAGTAAATATGGCTAGGCATGTTTATACGATTATATTGATGCTGCTTTCAATTTTCACTCCAGTAAACAATGCTTTGGTAGATACAGAGGACCTTTGTAAACCTCAAATCCTTATACAAGAGTATAAAACCACAAAGACGCAAATAATACTTTGAAAATATCCCTACTTTTAGATGCATAAATCGTACAACCATAAATTAAGAATGGAGAAACAACTTTAGATTACAATCTTGCAAGGTACAAACAAACTAAGGAATGAAAGAAATGTAGAAACGGATAATTTGAAAAGTTTTGAAGCATTAGAATTCTGATTGTACAAGCACGAGTTTTGTGAAAATGAGTGATACAAGCATGAACTGCAACAGAAGCTTAAATATACCTAGCATAGCGAATAAGCAGATTATCAGGCTTGAAATCACCATGAATCAAGCCAACACCATGCAAAGTTTCAACCATGTTTAACATTTCAATTGTGTAATAAATGCATAACACTTCTTCCACGGATTTTCTTAAGACCACATACGAGTTTACCACATCCTGCATAGAATTTTCAGTTGAAGATTAATACCAAAGCATATTGAAGACAATAAGGAAAATCACTGGAAATAAAATAACGGACCTGTAGTGTCCCATTAGCTAAATAGTCACAGATGAGTATACTACAGTCAGAATAGAGATGAACTCGGTGAGCAAAACCATAACTTGACCTCTGATAAAGTAAAAGTCAGAATAAGCAGATTTCATATAAAAGGCTGGTCGATAGTATAGTTGAAAACAGCATACCTCTCTCTCTAAGATGCGCAGATCAAGCTGACGATAAATGTAAAATTCCCAAGGGAAAGCTGGTTTTTGTATCTGCTATTCAAGGTTTAATAGTTCAAAATACAATCTTAATTCTAATGAGACAATAGGTCTACAATTCAGATAATTTATTTGAAAGGCCATCATCACCTTTAGAGCAACAACATTGTCAGGATCACTGATCATATTAGCCTTATATACTCGGGCAAAACCTCCCTGTCCAGCACACCCCTTTATAAGATACTTCATTCCACCTTTAACGTATGATAAGGACACAGAGGAGTAATAGTTGTGTTAGTAAAATAAATTAAAGTTCAAATGCGAGTAAGCTTATCGAAAAATAAGTAAAACTAGTTCTAGTGTAAAACATTCTGAAACATGATTATCCGAACACATAAATATATATATAGAGAGAGGACTAAATTGATCTTTTTATCATATTTCCAACACAAAAATGGTGATTTCTATTTTTTAGGGACTGATGTGACCTGACTCCAAGTTTTTCGATAACAAAAATGGTTTTTTATTCTCAGATTTCAGATAATAAGACTAAAATAGTGAACAACCTATCTCAATAACTTTATTCCTTGATGAATTCTTCAACGCAGATAAGACCACTTTTCCTGTGTATGGTTTAGTGCTTGAACGATACCCCTGAAAAAAAGTATTAAATGAAGCATAAGGGAACTGGATCTTTGTCACATGTGTTAAGTCAAGGGAAGTTGATATCAAAGGATTAAAACATCTTACATCAAATTTTATAATTAAAGGATGTATCTTCTTTAAGAGGACATCCATGGTCGAAGTGTCCCAAGGGTTAATGCCATTATTTTCCAATTTCATGGATTCTATATCATCAACCTGAACTCGGACAGAATATAAGAACTCTTGAATTAGTGATTAGAAATCTCAAAATTGAACTGCATAGGTGTCAGAGACCAACAAAAATAATAGATGCAATTTTTGTTTTTTAATTGTAAGGGACTGTCCGATATGCTTACCTTCTGGTTTGAAGCAGCATTCTGTACCTCATAAATTCTATTTAGAAATAAGGTCCGCGCCTTCCTCAACCACTCAATGGGCTCCGCATTCCTATCGAACATTGACCAAACAGTAAATCAAAATTACATTTTCTTATTATTCAACTTGCAATATCAACAAACCAACCTGCCAATGCCAAGCTGATATACGGAGAGGGCATCACACAATCTTCCCTTCAACTCAAATAAACTTGCAGACCACACATAAAGTGAAGCATTCTTGGTACATACATTACTGTCCAGCATTTCTTTGAAAACACTGTCAAAATCGTCACTAACTCCCATCTGCACAAAGAAACCAACAGAGCAAAGATGAACCCTTCCAACAATGTCGGTTAGATTTAATGAATTAAGGTATTTTCAGATAAACTTTGTAAACATGCTAAAATAAAATTTTAAAAGAAGAAATAGATACTATGTTAATACATAGACTCTATTTAGACAAAGATGGAAACAAGAACTTTTAAGAAACTAAAATAAAATCAAATAAACTTCTCCTATCAATTAAAACTATTTAGTTGAATTTAAGAGACTCTTTATTTCAACTAGTATCATGTAGACTTTTAATCTTTTTGAGAAACTCTTTCATTTGTTTAACTTTTTTTAAAATAAAATAGAGGCTGAACCAGCAACTTAGTTCAAAAAATTAATCCAAATTAAAATATTTTGAGGAGACATTGATATATTTTAGTAGAGATAGTAATATATTTTTGTAATAAAATCTTAACAAATAAAATTTGTAGGAACAGTGTGCCCCAGTCCCCCTCAGTTAGCCTCTCTGCTTGTTAGCAATTTTTAGATTTAGGTAAACTTATTTGAAGAAACAGAACAGAGATAAAATAGTTTTTTTTTTTTCTTCTTTTCTTTCTGCTTCTTATTTCCAGTAAAAAAAAAAATTAAAAGCACAAACAACCAAAAATCTACAAAAATCTGAAGTACACAAATTGAAGAAAACAAATGTAATTCATTTTGCTTCTTATATTCTTCTTTCATATAAGTGCTTACCTATAAATTTATCCAAAACTGTAATTAGATGGTTAACAATGGTTGCCCGTTGAATTCTTAACTCTGTATGCATTATAACCTAGGGCGTGCCAAATTTAGCATCAAAGAAGTAATTTTGTTGCATGGAGAAGAAGATAGAGTAGGAGAATTACATAGAGGAACCAAATCTTGAGAAATCTGATGTCGTTTTGGTACCGGTCATTGTTCTTGAAGTTCCGGATGCAATCTCTGAGTAAGATATTGAGATTCTGGGCGTAATTGTCAGATGCTTCTAGCGCCTTTTTTATAGACCTGAATTCACAAAATAGCATAAAGTATATGAGATTGCAGAATTTGGAATGGGAGAGTGTGAGAGAGAAAGAGAAGAACCAGAGGAAGGGTAAGAGAGGATCATCGGAAGTGTCAACCGCGATTGTCAAATGGGGTGAGTAGCGGAGCGTGGTGGCCGCAGTCATTGAGTTGAAACTAGTGAGTGAGACACCAGGAATCTGACAACTGAGATTTGAAGCGCGGAAACTGCACCATTTTGAATTTAAATAACTTTTTTTATAATAAAATAAATTTGGATTTTTCTGATACATAAGACTAACATAATTTATTTTAAAAAAATAATAAAAATTATTTAAGTTGAAAAGTATTAATTTTATTTTTAAGTTATAATTAATAGTTAAATTAATCAGTAAAATTATAAAATGATAAAAAAAATATGTACTATTTTAAATCGATATTTCATTTATTTTTCTATTAACTTGATGTCTAACATCCGTGAACTTGTTATCTAACACTTGATTTATATCTTTTTTAAATCAATAATTTCATTTTTTTAAAATACACTTATTATTTCAAAATATTACTGAAAAAAATGTAACCAGTTTCAGATTTTGAAATTAACAATATTTAAATCTTATTTAAGATAATCTAAAGAAAATAGTTTGAATAATTGTTGTTAAGGTGAGAGAGAAAGAAAAGAATAACAATGAAAGAGTGTGGATTGTTTAATAAAAATAAAATACAAAGAAAAAATTAGAGAAATGATTGAATTAGTTTTTTTATCATGTAAATTTTTAACAATAATTATATAAAAAGAGACATTAATAAAAATCGAGTTTCACTTTTATAGTATATATTAAGATATCCTAAAATGATCTATGATGTATATTATCAAGGTTAAATTTCAATTTTAATTAAAAACAACGGAAATAATGCTGTAGATGTTATATCTAAGTTATTTTTAAATATAAATCTAAAATCTATAATGCTTTTGTTAATAAATCTCGATTCTATCTCACAAAATAGATTTAAATAATTTTAGCATTTAATAAATTTCTGTAAATATGAAAAAATATTAAAATAAAACAAATATCCAATAATATATATATATTAACCCTACTCTACCTATATATTTAAGTAGGTTTGTATTCTTAATTCTGAAATTCATGTGGTATTGTCGTACCATTTTAACAAATTATGTAATAGAGAATAATTTTTAAAATTTAATTAAATTATTTGATATGTAATTTATTAAATATTTATATATTTTTTAATAAAATATTATTATTTTTAGTTCTAGAGTATAATAATAATTTTTTATTATCAATAAATCTGCTGATTGAATTAATCATGAGACAACTTAAAACATTCAATTTAATTTAGATAAATTTTTATTTGATATAATCCTATTTAACATGTTTTGTAATAATCAAATCGGGATAAAAATATTAAATAGGTATAATTTAAAAAAGAATTACGTAAATAAGTAAGTTATACTAAAAAAAATGTGATCATGACAATTTTGGTTAGTTTTTCTTATTTTGTATTATACGTTTCTAACACTTTTTTTAGTATTTTTATATTATTATTATTATTATTAAATTTATTATAAATAACATAATAAAATTGACATTAATATTTATAACATCATTTTATAATTTTTTGTAACGTTATTTTATTTATTGATATTATTGTTAATGTTAATTATTTTTTTTAATAAATTTAATAATAATATAAATAATTATTAAAATATTTTAAAAAGTGAAGTAGTAACCCAAACAAAAATATCATTAAAAAATTAAAATCATATAAAAAAGAAGAGAGAGTCTTGTAAGAAGACTTCTTCCTTCTATCTACTTAAATTTTCTATTGCATATATTATTAATGCTTTTGCCTAGAAGCTATTTTGATATTACCTATATGTATATTAAACCGAAAACAAAATATAAATTAAATAAAGTCAATTTATCTACGTGAACTTAACCAGAGTACAACATTTGATCAGGCTGCAAGGAAATAGATAGATAGGTAGAGAGAGAAAGGCATTGGCACCAAAATCGCGAATCTCATTCTTGAGTTTCAGTTTTGCTTGCATATCGCCTTCTCTTGCTCCTCTCACCGCCACCGCACGCAGTGAAGTCACTACCGATACCATCAGCAATGCCCGCTCAGAAGCGTTCCTTCCCCGATTCTCCTGACGATCACGACCGCCACACCAAACACCACAACCACCAAGAAAATTCTGAACAAGAAGAAGAAGCACAACAACAACAAATGGATAATAACGAATCAAATGGTTCAGGTTTTTTACATTCCCTTTCCTTCCTTCTAGATTATTCTATTTCTTCTTCTCATCGTTTCTTCCTTACATTCTCAGATTCTAACCGAGCTCCGTCCTCTCCCTCCGATGACAATTCTGAGTACTCTCTCTCTCTCTTGCTTGCATCATACACATTACTTACGAACTTATATTTTATCTATTGCTTCTCTATATGCTGTCGTTTTGATCCAGCTCGTGTCGTTCGAGCTACGACGCCTTCGGTTTCCGAATTCCTCCGATTTGATTCGTAATCCGTCGTTTGCATGTTTCGATTTCGTCTTTTTCGTGTCTGCCCGACGTTGTTGTTTTGTTTTTAGCGTAGGTTTTGTTATTAGGTCCTAGCTTTGAATCGTATCTGTTTTTTTTTTCTTCTCGACGTTAATTAGAACTGAAGATCTCGTTCGCAGTGGTTTTGAGTGTTTTTGTATCGCAATCAGAGTATCATTTGTCAGTTTTGCGTGAAGTTTTGGATTGGTGATAATTTCTTTTTGAAGTGGTTGTAGTTGAATAGGGGGTTGTTTAATGTTTATTACTTGATCCTATAGTAGGTTGTAACTCTTGGACCATCGTTTAAATAGTTTTGGTTGTGCTCGCATATTTTACTACGAACAATTGCATGGTGATTTTGTAATCCGTAACGTTTTAGTTCGGTAAAGAAAAAACTGAATCAACGGATGGATCCATCCCCGAGCTATTAGATATTCTAAATTATGGGGGTTCGTTTTGCATGTTGAGATTGGAAGTGATGATTCAGAAAGGCATCATGCTGTGGTGGATAGCGTATATGAGAAGCATGATCGATATCATAGACTAAATTTAGGTTTAACTTTGTTCTAAGTAATACAGATATATTAGAACAACAACAATGGTATTGTTGTAATTTTCTTTTGGGTTGGGATTATAGATATGTTTATTTGAATTTAAAGTTTGTGTCGATCAATGACTTCCTATAAAAGTGCATTTAATATGGAATTGTTTAGTCATAATTAACATTCTTTAAAAGGATTGCATCGTTTTATTCTTTATATAATAGGAAGCAAATTAAATGTCTCTGATGAAAGTCCACACCATGGGTATCTGCCAGCTGCAACTTAAGTTTGAAAACTGCATTTCTGCCTTGTTCCGACTTTTTAAGTGGGTATGGCTAGTGTCCGTAAAGTTTTTGTGACAAGCATATAGTTTTTGTGACAAGCATATAGCAACTTAACGTTGTTAACTAAATTTAGTATTAGTATCAAGTGGGTGAAGATTTTTGTGACTATCCAATCACTAAATACAATCTATAAACTGCATTATTTTGATTTCAGATTTGTAATATTAATTTTGTTTTGCCTATTAAGTTTCTATAAATAAAATCTTATGTTCTTGCATTGTTTGCAGATTTGTATTTGTTGAACTTCTGGAAATTCGCAAAGAAGTCCAATGTCCAATTTGCCTTGGTATGTGTTTTTTTCTATCTTGTCTGATAGTTCTTGGCACAACTCTGCTCTTAAATTATATGCGAGAATATTTTTTTTACCTTGGTTGGTGTAAAGAAGGCCATTGGATTGGAGGCATCGGAGATGAAAATAAATCATATAGTTTTAGCCCTGGGAAAAAAAGGTGAAGGGAGATTAAGAAAGACGTTGGAGGATATCGTCAAAAGCAATATTGTGGTGACTAATTTCCTTGAGAATTTTGTTTTGGTGGAGCTCATCCACATGATGTGATCTATGTATCAGACCTCATCTTGTGGATTAAGGCTGTTGTTGTCATTGTTGTTATTGTTATTGGTTCATTATGCTATACTTACATTCCATGATATTCCTTCCTGCTTCTGCTTAATTGGAAACCACATGTTTTCCGAATTTTTTTTTCGGTGCAACTACTCTATCATCTTCAAAAAAATATGCATTGTGACTTTAGCTCTTGGCATGCTTGATGAGTACATCTAAAACCAAGGTAAAGAGACTCACAGTTTTCTCTCAAGTCTCAACAGACATTTTCTCTCAACACTGAATTTCAACGTATTGCTGCTTTTATGTTTTCTTTGGATGAGTGAAGCTGGTGGAATATTGTATATGTATATGCTTATTTCTGAAATGGATATCTCTGTGTGGGTGAGATTGGTTAGAAAAAACAATTTTATGAAAAACTTTTTTATTCTACAATTGGTTGGATGAAAAGAAAGGAAGGAAGGAGAGTAAAGTTTGAAATTTGAATTGAATATAAGGATAGAAGGATCTTGATTATGACGAAACTTCGGGGATTAGAAATACCAATGTAATTTCACCTCTCATTTACATGTGGTTTAGTTGTTTGGTGTATTTCATTTCAAATCACTTTGTAGTGGAATTCCTTCCTACTATTCCACAGTTCTTGTCTCTTTCAAATCTCCCTATTGGTTGGTCAGTCAGAAAAGGCATCTCTGTATGTACAAGAACCACACCAAGTTCTTTACCAATCATAACAACAATTCTCAATGATCATTCTCTCTCTTAAATCTCTGTTTTCTCTTCCTTTCTACCATTTTCTCTACAACCATAAAGTCTAATTTGGTATCAACAGCTTGTTTTGACCCTGAAACATGCATTCACAGTCAAATCTGTTTTAAACCTCAGCTTAGCTATCACATCACAGCCTTCCTCAGTTTCTGTGTCTGAACCATTGTCGTTTTTCTTGACTCTTGATGGAAATAATCTTCTGATTTTGAAGCAGTCAATCAAGGCGGTGATCAAGGGTCACTAATTATGATGATTTGACTGATTATCCATCCTGATACCCATTTGTGCTTTTGCTTCGGTGGCAGATTATGATCTTGGCTGAGTCAGATGCATTTCTTATTTAGGACCTGTAAGATCAGCTTTCACTTTCATGGCTTCTGTTGTCACTTTCTAATTCTCTACTCAAGTGTCATTGGGAGTGTGCACTTGGGGCAACTGTGCAAGGAGATTCACACCTTCAATTCACATATGTTTTTGTGAAGTGTGCCAATAACAGTGCAAGCTTCAAAACACGAAAGAAAATATCATATACGATCTCAGGATTTTTTTCTGCATTTAGGCTTCTGAACAGTGTCAAAACTAAAACTCTTAATTTGTTACACATAAAGTAGGAAAGAATGATTATTGTTGCAGCAGCTCAAGTTTATGAGTGATTTAATGACCTCTTATTTGAAATGCACATTACTGTGTTGATTCATGTTTTTTAAAATAAAAATTCCAAAAAGATTCAAGATCTCAATATTGCCTGAATAGGTAAAAAATTGGAAATTGTTTCTATAAACTAGGGATACTAGTTTGTTTGGTGAATGCAATTTCATATATATATTTTCTCTCTGGTGTTTGTATGTCTACCAAAATGTGATCGCCCGTTGCTTTTAGTACCTTTAGTATTAATGATGGTTTTATCAGGTCGTACTGGATTTATCTTTGAAGGTGCTTTTCATGTTATACCCGAGTTCTAACAAACATCCATGTTCGTTTAAGATATAACAAAGTATTTCTGATGCTTCCTCAATCAGGTATTATTAAGAAGACACGAACTGTTATGGAATGCTTGCACCGGTTTTGCAGGGAATGCATTGACAAGTCAATGCGACTAGGGTAGGTTACTTGAAACAATTCCAGACTTTTTCTTTTATTTAACAATTAATATGCTCGTGTTCAGTGCAAACTAGGCCTTCATCTTGATTATTTTTGTTTTTAACAGAAAAACCATAGTTATAATGTCTATGTGCAGCTAGATTAATAATTTGTTGTGTAATGTCAGGAACAATGAATGCCCTGCTTGTCGCACACACTGTGCCAGTCGCCGTTCTTTGAGAGATGATCCGAACTACGATGCCCTAATTGCAGCTTTATATCCAGACATTGAGAAGTATGAGGAAGAGGTATAAATTCATTTTTTTGTATGAGAAATACTAGGTTGACAACCAACATGTGAAAAACAACGTATCTATAACTACTTTTATTGATATAATAATAATAATAATAATAATAATAATAATAATAATAATTTTTATGTTTATTATTAAAAAAGGATTGTAGGATGTATATTTGAGAAAAATGACTTGTTTATATATCACTTCTCGTTTTGTATTTAATATTTAACGAGTTAATTAATATAAATATTAACTATTTATATCACACTTGCTAGGAGCTTGAGTTTCGTGAAGAGGACAAGAACCGCAATAAGCTGGTAAATATTTTTTGATTTATCATTTTCAAGTATGCTTCTACTTTCAGATGTATTATAGTTAGACAAGTTAGAAAAGTTTCACGGCAAATGTGTTGTTGACTGTATCACACTCGTGGGTTGCGAATGCTCAAATCATAGCCTTTGAGGGAAATGCTCATATAGTTGCCGTTGATGACCTTTTCTTTTTCTCTAAAATCAGATTTGTTGACTATCTATATGGCTAGCCGACCACTAAATTCCCATCCATCAATTTATACTTAGTGTTCGGAGTAATCCTTATTTGAATTTTATCAGTTGTCATCATTCTCTAAATAGTCAAATCTTAGCATGTTCAAGAGTACTTTGTTGCTGGGTTGTCATTCGATAGCTTTTCTGACAGATTCAAGCTTCAATTGCAAAAGTTGTTCAGCGACAATCCGAAGCACTGGTTAAGAGACGTAGAGATACACCAGGATCATTTGTGACAAGATCACTGCGCAATCAACGAAATGTTCTTTCTAGGAGACAAAACCAAGTAATTGATAATCAAGGATCCGAAGATAATGAGGATGAAAATGACAATAATGAAAAGGACTCATCTTCCACGGATGATCGATGTACTGAAATTAGGCAGAGAAGGCGAAAGAGGCGGACCAGAGGTCGCCCTTCTCAGCCGTCATCATCGACAGCAAGTCCTGACGGTGGATGCATAGAAAGTGATGTGGATATAAGAGAGAATAGGGGAATTTCTTCTAGACCATTGTCAAAACCTCAAAAGCTAACTTGGGGAAGGGGTGGTTTCAGGAGTCACACACGGCATGGCAGCGGTAATGGTATCAATAGCAAAAGTGCTCGCAGTAGCCGCTTGGCTAAGTTAGTTGATTATCTCCGTGGCTTGAATGAAAACACTGATGAGGTATAGGTTACTGCTGAATCCCCTCTTTAATGATGAATACATTCCAGTTTCAGTTCAGTTCAATTTATAGAGGTTAGATTTATCTTTGCAGTTTGATGTCCATCTCATTCTTTTGTCTCTGGACAAACAAAGTACACCAAGCTTGCAGCAGCCACACCTTTGCTGTCGGCCAACTTTGTCTGTAAAGCACCTTTGTGAGGTGAGGTTCTCTTTGATCACTTGATTCTTGCAATGATTGTTTGTAGTCAAGTCAGTTTAACAATGTTGTGACATCAACAGCCGACTTCATTGGTTCAAGTTTACTAGCTTAAGTGTTGATATTTATAGGCAATAAAAGCAAGCTTTATCAATATGTTTAATAAACTTTTACTTTCTAATGCTCTCTTATTAATGAATATGATTGCATGGTATTCTTTTCTAGATGATCTAATTCCTGATGATGATTTTCTAAATTTTATGTGAATCCTTTTTCTGCGTAGTATGTTGCTCGCCAGACACCTTTGCCCGTTGAAGAAGTTGAGATATTGGCAGTTAAGGGATGCAATAGTACAGTTTGTGACAAGTCATTTGAGGAGATTTCAGCCTTTGATGAGCTAACTGCGCTGATTATAGATCCTAGCAAAGATGAACTGGAAATTTTGCAAGGCCATGAATCTTTGGCAGAACTTAAATCCAAATGCATGTCTCAAAGGGAGCATTTGGTGAGTATCAAGACGCATTTTCACCCCAATATTATCACTTGCTCAAGTATTGACTAATATATTTACCCTTTTTCTGCTGCTTCAGATTTTGGCATACAGGCGGAAGGAGTGAAACATTAAACACATTTTTGAGATTTATGAATGCCAGGACTTCTGCACGTACATAGGAAAATTTTCAACTACAAAACTATATGTAGTTGAATAAAATGAACCTTCCCAAAGGTTATATAGACAGTTTTGATATTATTGATGTCACGTATCCTGTATGTACATAGGAAAATTTCAACTACAAAACTATAGTGAATTTGTATGAACCACCCGAAATGGTATTTATATACAAGGGTTTGTTTCGACCCGTTATATTGCATATTAATGGCGACAACGGATAGCAACCCACTTGGGCATCGCCATTAACCCACCCTCCAGAAAGAGAAAAATCATCTTGTATTCAACCTGTATTTTTATGAATATTTGTTAAATCGGTATCTACCTTATATGAATGTTTGCAGCGTGTATCAATATATATATATATATATATATATATATATATATATATATATATATATATATATATATATATATATATATATATATATATATAATAAAATAAAATAAAATAAAAATAACACCATTTTGAAAATAAACTGATTAACAAAGGGAATTTATGGTATTAAGGCCTATATAAAGAATTATGAGGAAGTACATTTTCAGGCAAATGTCATTAAAGAAAATAATACGAGGTATAGTTGAGTAGAGTGTGGAATTATACGTTCTTTAACATATACTTTTAATATCAAGATTTTAAATTCACTTTTATTTTTATATACTTTTGTGAAAGCTAAAATATAAAATATACAATTAAATTTGTATAGAACCAAAACTAAATATATGTGAAACTATGAGGACTAAAATATTGTCTAATAATGAATTGAATTCCTACATTTATATTAATAAAATAAGAACACTTTATTCTAAAATTAAATTAAAGTTTTACATTTGGCTTAAAAATCAGAATTAATAAAATATAAATAATTTCACATTATAAGTATTTTGCCACCTGTCCCGAACTTAATAAGTGAATAGAGATTCTCCCGCCCCTAATAGGCTCTGATTAAACTATTCATTTTCAATTAAACGTATAAAATAAAATATTTTATGAATCACTTATTTTATGAATATGAATTTAACTTTCAGCTTTAATTGTTTTAATTTTTTACTTTAATTTGAGTTTTGGTTAAATTGTGATTTGCAATCTCTTTCTTATCTTCCATTTTTTAATGCCGTTAGTTTTTTACATTCTGAATTTTACACATATTTTATTATTTATTTCTTTATTTTTATATTTTAATTAATTAATTTTGTATGACATTTAAATAAAATGAAAACCTTGTTAAGCTAATTAGACCAAAATGAAATTAAAAAAATGTTTTTTCCTTTCTATTTCAACTTTTATGATTTGAAATAAAAAATATATATATTTTATTAATATCATTTTATGTCTTCTTAGTTATGAAAAAGCGATAAAAAGTGATCTCGTGTACACTAGTATATTTTAGGGTTTTGAGGGATTAAAAATGTATTTTTTAATTTCTTTCTAAATCTGGAACCAAAAATACAAATGAAAAAGATAAAATGTGAATAAAAATACGTTAAACAGCATGGAAACAATTTGCAGAGATGTCAAAGATAAACGCATTATTAAACTACTGAGAAAAATAGAAAAATATCATTAACGCATTATTAATCTACTGAGAAAAATATCACTGTTAATGATGACATCACAATCAATGTCAAAACTAATATATATTTAACTTGTTCTTGAAAAATATACATCACAGAATTGAGATTTGACAACGAGCTATGAGTAGTAGTATTACACAGACACAACACATAAAGAGGATTCAAGAGTCCTTGAACACTGATCAACACAAGTTGCAACCCAAAAAACTCAAGTCATCATCTCATGTTAGAAGCAGGACTCGAGACTACGGTTCCATAGAATACCTTTCGTCTTTCCTTTCTGTGCAGTACACGCAAATTTGGTGACTTGGGCTTCGTTATGTTCTTGGAAGACCTAAATGCAACATGGTGTGAAGAATAATTAAAATTGTACAATGTAAAAATGAAAAATAAGTTCAGTTCGGTTTGAAAAGCATACTTTTGGGGACAAAACGGATGATCAAATTTTGGAACTGGTCTAGCATGAGGAACCATTGTCCTTCGCAATTGTTTCAACGCTTTCTCTTCCTCTATCTGCACGTTCATATATGTTCACAATATCATCAGTGTCAACCAGACAAACCATGCGCAACTGATTTTTTTCTCAGTTTTCAAATTGCAAACAACATACCATTTTTGCTGCTTCACTCTCCTCTCTGTATCGTTTGTAGACCATTTCTTTTTCTTTAATCTGTAAAAGCAAGCAATATATATGAGTACTTTCACTGTAAAATCACAAGAACAAGCTATACGGAATTTTTGGTTACCCTTTCATCAAATTGTGCTCTATCCACGGCCCGATGATTCACATGTAAACTAAATTCCTGAACTTGTGTTAGAGGTTTGCGGACCTTCTCTGGAACAGGGATTGGGTCTCTGCATTTATTAACATCCATGGGAAGAAAATATTAGTTCGTTTGTAGTTTTCCATCTGCACATTAAAATAAAAAATCTTGGTTTTTGCTCACTCTTTTAAGATTGGTTGTGCTTTAAACTCTCTCATCTGAGCCTTTTCTTTTTCCATTATCTGTCTTTCTTCCTGCTCCCTTTGCATTTCTTCCTCATGTCTGACCAAGCTCTCCAATTGGAATGGCTCTGGTCTTGTACATTTCTTTGGTTCCGGTTTTGGTGGGACCTGTATATGATGATCAAATTAAACTCAAGCAACTTTCTCAACAAACAAATAGAACAAAAAAACAAACAGATTGACAAAATTCAATACCACAGGGTAATCGGTGGTGTAAGGGTATGGATTAGCCTTGGGAATCCTTGCGATTTCCTCTTCTAACTGTTTGTGCAGAAGTTCCATTATCAGTTTCTTCTCTTTCTCAGCACCTCTTTCCTGTCATGGTTAAGAATGTTGGCATAAGAAGAACTACAGCAAAACTTCGCATTGCAACCTCACAAACTAAGGGAAATTAATGAACCTCTGTGTGGAGATGGAATGGATTTGGAATTGTGTTTCTTGGAATTGGGTTGTGGTTACGTTCTGGTTCAGACTTCAAAGAAAGCTGCAACCAAAAACAAAACAAATGATTGCTGACCCTAAACCTGAAACCCTATATCCTTTTTACATTCTAGATTACTGAATATCTTTGTGAGCAGATACTTCATCATTACCTTCCCAAATAAATCAGCAACGGAAGAAGCAGGTGGTGGAATCCTTTCATCTGTGGCAAAATGAAATTCTTGAGGTTCAGTAACATGTTTCTTGGTATTGCAGAATATTCCAATATCCCCTTTACTTTCAAAGATCTGAAAGAACAAAATTCGGTTATCTAAATGATGATAAAATAAAATTCTTAGAAATGGGTAAAACATCTCAGTTGGTATACTTACCTTCTTATTTAGAGGTCTTGCCTTGAATTTGGGGATATTTTCAATTTCCTCTTGCTCTAATTCTAATGAGCTTTTCACCTTGGGTGGGCGTGCCCTTAGTGAAGTTTGGAGTAGTGGAGTTTTTGGTTCTGTAAGGTGGTGAGGCTTCCATGAATTCCCCTGTTTTTTGAAAAAGGAGTGACTAATGGATCAAATGAATAATGAATAGTTGATTGAGCTGTTTCTTAAAGATAGATACCTTATGAGACACCTCGGTTGAAGCTATTGAAGCTGTATCTGCATTTTGATGGGCCCTAGTCAAGGTTTCCAGACGAAACTCCTGAAGAAAATGAAAAAGTCAATAATTCAGAATATAACCTTTTGGCACTAGTACTATGTGTTTATATTATAATTTGCAATTCAATCTTCTATATGGTGATTGTCTACCTTAAATTCTGGTGGCTGAGGTGTACTTCTTGGAATAGGAGGCAAAGTTGCAGTTTGCAAAATCTAGAATAATAGACAAGAAAAAATAAATATAAATAAATGCACAAATAGAACAAAAATCAGGTAGGAGAAAGGAATGAAAATAGTACCTTCTTATTCAATGGTCGAGCCTTGAATTTTGGAATTTTAGCCATCATTTCTTCTTCAAGCTCTGCACTACTCTTCACCCTAGCTGGGCGAATCCGCTGAGAAGTCTCAAATTCAGGCTCCTTAGGCCTGGTCAATGTAAGTTTTGGTTTTGTCTGGATCAAAGAAGCACCATTATTAATATTTAGTAAATCAATTATTCGAATGTAGAACAGTAAAAAATGATGAAGTGGGAGTAGAGATTTGGATCCATACATGAGAAACAATGCTGGGCAGTGCTAGATCTCTCGTACTAGACTGAAATCTTTTCATCATTTCTGCCATTGATACAAATGGTACAGAGGCTGGTGTTGTTGGTGTCTCACGAACATAAACCTTTAAATGCACAAATCAACAAATTACGTAAAAAATACAGCTAAAAATTTGAAACATAAAGGATATGAGATTAAATTATATGAAAATTTATAAGACGAAACAAACCTTTCTATCCTCTTTCTGAGTTTTACTAGTGCTAGAAGGCACCGTAAAACCCAATCTTGATTTGTCATGAGGCAAAGTTTGATGCCTGACATTTAGAATCTGTAAAGATTAAAAATATAAATAAGAATATATTTCATGTAAGACCAAAAAGGCAACAGTGAAGAACAAAATTACCTGTCTAGATTTTCCTCCTTCCAATTTTTGCCTCTTAATAGCTTGATTTTCTTGAGACAAGTGAAGAGCACCAGCAATGCTCTTCCCGGTTGCTGACTTTAACTGAGATTTTGTACTCGCGGGAATCTTCTTATTATGTGTCTTCTTGGAATTAGTGGAAGTGGTGACTTTTTTCAGCAATGCTGGTTTTGGAGTGCAAGCATCTTTTGTTACTTCAACAGATGCTCCTCCAGATGACGAAACCAAGCATCCACCATCATCTTTATAATCATTGTCATGTATTTCCTTATCAGTGCAAGGTGCATCATCTTTCTTTACAGTAGTCACACACTGAGGTTTTATATTAGTCTCCAGAACTTTCTCATCAACATTTGCTGACGCCTAGTAAAATAAAATACAATCAGTCAAACGAACCACTCGAAATTGCACATCTATCATGAAAACTGATGCAACAGTACCTTCTGCATTTTGTCAGCTTCATCTTCCTCTGTTTTGGTAGTTATGCTCTGTGGGTGTATATTCGTTTCCAGAACACTATCATCAACACTAGCTAACATCTATTAAAACAATAGATAATGAGTCAAAGGAGTCAAAATTGAAATATACATATGATCAAAATTGAAGTAATTAATAATAATACCTGCTGCATTTTGTCTGCTTCACCAAAATCACACAAGCTATCTACAGTAATAGATCTAGAAGTCTTGATTTTAGGCATGAATGCTGCAACAAAAATTTAAAAATCCAAAAAAACTTAGCTTAAGACTTAATCACTTTCTGAAACAACACATAGAAGAAAAATAACAATGTTTAGGCTGAAAGCCATTCCCCATTTCAGAACATATATAATATTCCCAAATTGAGTGAAATTTAAATTTCCTATTGAACAAACTACAGACTTTGCTCATTTTCTGAAACAAGAAATAGAAGATAAATCACTACTGAGTTTAGGCTGAGAGTCATTTCACTATTCACAACATATACATGAACCCCAGCAACTTAATGAATTGTATTTAGAGTGAGTGAAAGAGTTGAATATCTATTTCCTACAAGACAAATTACTGAGTTAAAAACAAAGTTGAGATCAAACAACTTGAGCTTAAGCAAACATCATAGAACCAAAGGCAACTAAAAGCTCAAAAAGCAATTGAAAGCAAATCTACTCTACCATACAGTACAAGAGAAACTGAATCCACATAAAAGAAATTTTGTACACCATAATGTATCATCATCATTTTAACACTTTAAAGAAGTTTGTTTCCCCACTCTGTAGTAAAAAAGGTCTTTCCACACTGTAGAAACCAGTAAGAAAAAACTAATTTCTTCCACTTCATTTCAATGTTTCACTCCATCAACTTTTTCTATTATCTTCTCTCAATTCTAATTCCTATACCCTACAAATCTTATTATCAACATTATCTTTTTTATTATTCTGATATCATCAGTCATAATGCAATGTAAAACAGATTAATCAAGATAGAATAAGTATTGAGAAATAACCAGAGAGATCAGGAACGTACGAGAAGGAGCGTAAGAGAGAGCAGTGTCGAACCAGAGCTCAGCCCTATGTGATTCTTCAGTAGTCTCTCCTTTGTTGAAGTCGAAGAATCGCGGTGCCAAGAACTCGTAAGTCTGATCCATCACGGTGGTGCCACCGGATTCCTCTGACACTGACATTTGGCCTTCCGATTAGGGTTCCCAGAAAATTGAGAAGTGATTAATAAGAGGGAGAGAATGAGTCTGTTTGGTGCTTCTTCTGAGAAAGGAAAGAAAAGATGCAGAGGAAATGAATGTAATGTTGAGCGTCAAGTGTAACGGTTACTTTTCAAACGGTCCAATCTCTTTTTTTTTTTTTTTTTTCTTTGAACTTTATGAAGAAGCCTAGGTAGTAAACTGATTGGTTCATAAGTTGGCAACTCATAACGGCTATTTCTCTTCAACACCAAGCGATTAAATATTAAAGTAATAAATTTAATTTAATTAAAAAATTAATTATAAATTACATATTAACACCATGATAAATTTTATAATAATGATTTAAACCATACTTTAAATAATTTATTATTAACTAATAGTGTTATTATAATAAGAAATAAAAAAATCAAATTAGTAATTTAATAATAATAATAATAACAACAACAACAACGTATTATTAAATAATAATAACAACATATGATTAAATAGTGATCATAAGGTGTTAAAGGTTATAACATAACATTTTGAAAATATATTGATTAATTTATTAATCTATTTAGAGTTTTTCTTTTCTCGTGCAAATATGATCCTTCCATGTCGAAAGACAACTAAAAAAAATTGAACTTTCAAGATGTAAAAATTATAAAACAAGAATCAATTTATTTTACAAAATATTCTCCACAAATCCATTAGACAATTAAATCTCTATGTTTTAAGAAAACAAGTTATTTATCAACTATGGTAAATTTCGCTGTCTATTGTTTTGTCTGTTCAACGTGATTATGTAATTCAACCAATAAAAAGTTTACAGGTTTTATCATAAATTAATTTTCATGTTAAGTTAAAAAAAAATATTATTAGAGTCGAATAATTTATCTATCTATTCAATGGTGAATTCAGAGTTGGGATTGAAAATATATATTAATTAAAGATTTTTTTTTCATACAAAGGTCAGGTTTATTTATACATTACAATAATAAAAAGGTAGTAAATTATCAAAGACAAAAAAATTGATAGAAAAGAAATACACTCTAAAATTTGATTTCCTATTACTACAATTTAGGTATATTTATAATTTTAATCTAAAATTATTCTTATTTCAAAAAAATCAATTTTTAGGATTTTTTTTACTGTTTTAAAAATAATTTTTAATTAAAAATGATTTTAAAAAACTAAAAACTAAAAATTTAAAATGGATAAAAAAATAATTTTATTAATGGTCATCATTGTTGCGGATAATTATATTATATAGTTGGTTTTTATTAATACGAAGTTATTAAAAAAAATTAAATATATTTCTATAATTTTTTTTATTTGTATTATTTTATTTCATCCAAAATAATTTTTAAATAAAAATTATTAAATAAGTTTCTAAATTTATTTTCAAAAATAATTTTTTAAATTTAATCTTTAAAAATATTTTTGAAAATTAAAATAAAATAAATGAATAGTTATAGATTTTTTTAATAGTTCATGACATTTTTTTATTCATACAATTTTTAAACTATAATTATAAAAAACTGTAATTTATTTTTAAAATTAATTGATAGATTTATTTTGAAAATATAAAATAGTAAATCTAACAAATCTTAAATCAAACAAGTATTAAGTATTTTATGCTCAATACCTTGTTTGTTTGCTTAAGCGTGTTTTATAAGGAAGTTGATTTTTGTTAAATACATGTGTTACTTTCGAGGTTCTACATATAAATATTAAAGACATTTATAATAAAAACAACAATTCATATAAGTTATTTTTTATTTAAAAAAATATAAGTTATTTCTTATTTAAAAGAATTATAAAATAAAAATTTATGAGATCATAAGTAAGTTGATTTTACTCCATTAAATTTATTTTTAAAAATTCAATAAAAAAACTCTGGTTCATATGCTTTTGAGTTGTGGTGTTGATTCAATAATTAGTAGACTTTTATTAATTCATATAGAATAGGTAGTTTTTGTCTTTCCAACTTTTTAGTCCACCGTTCTTCTTCATTATTGTGGTTAGAAATTAAATTTACATATTTTCTTGTCTGTCCAGTTTTTTCACCTTTGATTCGTTTCTACTCATCTCATTTTATATTATTTTTAAAAAATAATTATACATATAATAAATTAATTTTAATATTACATTAATATATTTTTATATAAAATTGAATATTTATAATTTTAAATTATTATTATTAATTAAATATATACTTAAATTTATTATATTTATATTAAAATATATAAATAAATAAAAATTAATATTTTTTATATATAAATATAAAATACTTATAATAATAATATTATTATTATTATTATTATATATTATAACACTATATTTAAATATTTGATTATATATAAGTTAATATTTTTTAAGTTATGGTTTAAAAATATTTATTAATATGAAATATATAATTTATGAGAAAATATTTAATAAATTAAATTTTATTTAATTAATTTAAATTGATACAAGTTTTAATTATTTTTAATTATTTAAAATAAAATTATTTTATTAAAAAATTTGATATATAATAAATAAGAATAATAAAATTCAAAAAATATAAGGAAATAAAATTCAATAAACATAAATAAATAAAAATAAAATAATATTAATTATTATTAAAATTGAGGTAGAATATTTAGAAAAAAATAATAATTTTATATTTATTAAATTTATTGAAAAATCAAATTGATTGAAGATATTAAAAAAATATAAAAAAGTCATATATATATATATATATATATAAAGAAAATAATATAATAAATTTATTGATCTAATAAATTAAAAAAATAAAAAATGGATAGAAAAAGAGAATGAAATATAAAAAATGTAAAAAAGAGTATGAAATATTTTAAAAATAATAAATTTTTAGAATTTATATTTAAATATAATGACGAGATAGAGATTACTTTATCCATCCAAGTCTCCTCATCGCCTAGATTTAATCATGATCTATATATACACACAAGACTAATCAAAATTTAAAAAATAAATTAGATTTAACCAAATTTAATAAAATAATAACTTTATTAAAAATAATATTTTAGAAAAATAAATAAAAATTATTATGTCTATGGTAAATTATAAAATAAATAATAATTAAAATAAAATAAAAATATAATAAAATAACTATTATTTAAAATTGATATATAAAATAAAAATAAAATAAAATATCTTATATCTTTTATAAAAATTATATTAAAAAAATATCTTAATTTTTTATTAAAATTGATTAAATTTAAAATTTTAGTCAATTTTGTTAGTTTTACGAATTTCATATCAATTTTATATATTATCTAAATTTAATTAGAATTTAATTATTTAAAACTAACATGCTGGTTTTTTAAGTATTCCTATTGAATCGACGAATTCATTTGATTTTAAAACACTACAAATAAAGTAAAAATTATGTATGGGAATCAATATAAATAGAAAGGATAAGAGTAGAAAAGTTTCCCATCAAATTTTTGAATGGGTCTAAAAGATAGTGAAAATTTTAATAAATCAATTACATAAAAATATTTTTATATTAATTAAAAATAAATTAACCAGAATAAACATTTATTATTCTAAACCTTTTATGTCATCAAAAGAATTATTCCATATTTCACGCCAGTTGAAAAGTTCCGAGGTTAAAAAATATAATGTTTTTTCTTATTTATATAATGATGAAATTTTGATATTTTTATTTCATCCCCCTCATTTCAATATTTATTTTCTTTATTTTCATCAAAATAAATAATTAATTATTCTAAAATGATTTTCAATATTATCATTATAATATTTTTATCACTATAATATATATTTTCTTTATAATATAATCCACCAATGTCATAATATTCATTCTAGATTAATTTATTTTAATCATAAGGTTTATTTGTATCTCAAAATTTCATTTTGAATTTTGGATTATTGACTCAATAAGAAGAAAGTAAAATTTGATTAATAATTATTTTCAACGCATCGAACTTGAAATAATCAAATAATTCAACCTCAAATTAAGTACATTAATAATTTGTATTTAATCCCATGATTAGAAACACAGCAATTAATAAATAACAAACATTAAAAAAAATATAAACAGCATTACCATCTAAAAACTATTGCTCTCTAGTTTAGTTTAACGAGGGTGTGAACGTGTCGAGATAATAATACAATTGAGAAACGTGGCCTCATAACAAACAACCATATAATAGAATTTGCATGCACTAATGGATCTACCAAATCCACTTTTCAATTTAAGCACATCGATCACAAAGCTGTGATTTTCTTTTTCTTTATTAAAGCCACCCTTTTGTCCATTCCAAACCATGTGGCTGTTTTTGATTGACTCAGTTGCAATTCATATCAAGTCATGCATGATCCTCATCATTCAAGCTACAACCACCTCTGTGATAATTCAATAAAAATTTCCCCTTTCTCAATTTTAAATTCTCTCCCACCTACCCAACAGTTCCTTCTTCTATCTACATATTCACCACACACAATCATATATGTTTTCCTTGAAACTCCCATTCAAAACTAAAAAACAAGACGCCTTCAACCTTAAAATGGCAAGTGTTTATCACATGCCACAATATCCAACTTTTATTTAACACATGGATCTTCAAACAACATGAGAAAAACAAAACACTTATTCTAAATATTTATTTTTAAGTTTTAAGGGGAAACTAGTAAACTGACAATTTTGTAGTCATTAATTCAGACCTTGACATGGAGTATATAAGAATCAAAGTTGATAATAGGTTTAATTGTTACTTCATGACCTAGTAAACACATAATGGGACATATTTTCCTTATTCCTTGTCATGGAACTTTGTTTTTTGCATTGATACAAATGGGAACAAAGATCAAGTGGGAAAGTTGATATTGGGAACATAATGTGGTATTTGATGTGAAAAAGAAACTCCAAAAGGAGATAGAAGCAACGTGAAAAAAGAAAGATCACGTCGGCAATAACGCGTTGTTGTCAAAGAACGCGGGCTACAGAATAAAGTTGCGGGCAAGTCACGTGCACTAAAGTCAAACTCCCTTATTTATACACGTACCTTCGTTTTCTCTCTCTCTGAAGTCTTGAACAACTCACAACATTGAACAACAAATCTTATCACAACATCAATTCTAGCATTGTACCATCATGACGGGCAGAGATATCCTCCATTTGATGAAGGTCAGTGGACAACAACAAAAAAAAACATCATGAGTTCTTTTCTGAAAACTAAGCGTGGCAAGTTCATTCACATGTTTTTGAACTAGTTAGGCTAGTTTGGTTTGTTCATCTGTGTGTTTTGCAGTTCAAGTTCTTGCTATATTGTGGAGTTATCTTGCTTGAGGTTTCTTGATTTATTTTTCAAAATGTTTCTGCAGTGATTGAAATGCTGCAATTTTAAATTGGTTCTACATTTTCTTTCCATGTCCTTTCTTGCTTAAGAAGTGTATATAAGATTTATATATGTGATGATATGAATAAAAAAATGTTCAATGCATTGCATCCAAACATGTGGAGATTCATTAGGAGTGTGCTTAAATAGCTTCTTGAATGACCCTTTTTCTGTGCTTGTATTAAGATGTATTGATGTGTTAATCTTTCAATTATATTTTTCCGTTTATCAAACTCAGAACTCCACATTTTTATATTAAATTACTGAATTTGAGGAAGTAATCGTTTTTAAACATGCTACTAGTTTCAAAGTCGAGCTTACAAAATAGTGAGACTGAAGATTTACTTAAACCATGTGTTTAGGTGAAAGCAGGGTTTGGAACATCAACACCCGAGACAGGGAAAGGAAAAGGCAAAATATCAAAACACATTACACATGGATTTCACTTGATGAAGGGAAAATCTGGGCATCCCATGGAAGATTATTTAGTTTCAGAATTTAAGCAAGAAAAGGACAGAGAATTAGGCTTGTTTGCAATATTTGATGGCCACTTAGGCCATGATGTTGCAAGCTATTTGCAGAACCACCTTTTCCACAACATCTTGAAACAGGTAAGGTAACTTTCCTATTACCTCATGGTCACATTTTCATGCTAGACAAAACTTATATACAGCACCATAACCTTATATATCTTTATTACATGGATTACTAAAGTAAAATTTCAACTTGATTAGAGACAACACTAGCAGCATCTAAGAAACTATATCTAAGTTTATCCCCTCAATGTTTTGACTAGTTTTACAACATCTAATAATGAATACCCTTCTTCTAAACCTGCTTCATGTGGTTCTTCTTTGATTGATATTTATGTTTGCTGCAAGCAGCATGACTTTTGGACTGAGACAGAAAGCGCAGTGAAGAGGGCTTATCATGAAACGGATGAGAAAATATTGGAAGAAGCACTTGTGTTGGGAAGAGGAGGGTCAACAGCTGTAACTGGAATACTGATCGATGGTCAGAAGCTTGTAGTAGCAAATGTTGGTGACTCAAGAGCTGTTATTTGTGAGAATGGAAAGGCTAGGCAACTATCTGTAGATCATGAACCAAGCAAGGAAAAGAAATCTATTGAGAGGCGTGGGGGGTTTGTATCAAACATTCCAGGTAAAAACCACCTTTTTAAGCTTTTCTAATACAGAAAGTGCAACATATGCATATGCTAACATGGATTTTGGATATAACTGTGCAAAAAAATTAGTTAAGCAATGAATTCTCATCAAATGATAATTTGCAAATCCCTGTGTAGCTTTGAAAATAAGTTAAGTTACAAGTTATAACCATGTTATATAATTCATAAGTGGTTTTTATAAGTTTAAATGAGTTCTCATCAACTCTTACTTAGAAGCACAGGACATGCTTTGCACGTAGGCTATAATCTATATACATGCACTATGGTTTCAAGTAGAATTTCATTAGAAACTATGAACAAAATTTCTGATATAGAACATTTGAATCTATGTTTCCTGCAGGTGATGTCCCTCGAGTAGATGGACAGTTGGCAGTAGCAAGGGCTTTTGGTGATAGGAGCTTGAAGATGCATCTTAGTTCAGAACCTGATGTGTTTGTAGAGGAAGTAGATCATCATACAGAGTTTCTTATTCTGGCTAGTGATGGAATATGGAAGGTTAACTTCCTTACCATTTTCTTTCTCTTTCACTTCCTTATATTCATTTTAAGTAGTGTTTTTTTTTTTTTTTGGTTTTTAGAATTAAAAGCTACTTTGATAGAAAAAATTAAATTTATTCGATAATTTTATAATTTCTAAAGCTTAAAAGTTGAAAGATAGTTTTTTTCCCATGGATTTTTCAGGTTATGTCAAACCAAGAAGCAGTGGATTCTATAAGGCAAATAAAGGATGCACAAGCTGCAGCAAAGCACTTGATAGAAGAGGCAGTTTCCAAGAAAAGTAAAGATGACATATCTTGCATAGTTGTGAGGTTCCAATGACATGCTTATGGATTAGTGGAACATCTTTTACCAACACAAAAAAGGCCTTGTGGAACATTTACAATCTTAGATGATGTTTATCTCAGAATATAAGTACTTCGTACTTCATCTTCTTTCTTTCCTTAGCTAAATGTAGAATCTCACATCAAGCACTGGTTTCTGCATGTATAAATGATCCTATAATAACTTTTACTATTTTCTTGAGATTTCGTTAACTGTTTGCATCTAAATGAATAGTTGGCACCATCACAATTCAAGTTCCTACTACATATACGAATGAAACTTCTTCTCCGTCTTCTTTCATAGTGTATTATAGGTGATAAAACTATGAAATGAATGTAATATTTTATTATTACGTTTTTCAATATAGATAGACTTTAGGATTGAACCAAAAAGCACATAATTTAATGAAATGTCACAAAATAAGTCATGATATGAACTATGTTAAACAAGTCAAAATATGAGTAATTTGCTAAAAAATGCATAATATGACAACATTAAAAAAAATATCACATTCTTTTACTCATTTTATGACTTTTTTTCATTAAATAATTCATATAATGTGTCTTTAGTCATAATATAAATTATCTAATTATAAAATTACAACTCATTACTTTCCTTGTCTAGACCTATACCAGTCAAATAAAAAAAAATGTCAACTTTATTAAACAGTCATTGTGACATTACATAAAAATAAATAAATAAAGAATTCATTCCCATTTTATTTATTTTAACTGCCCAACAAAACTTTTTAGTCTCGCCATAAATATAAAAATTATATCAATATTAAATAAACAATTTATCAAATCCAATCTTATAATTATTTTACGTAGTGAAAAAAATAATGAAGAAAAAATAGTCAAAATGATTTTTATCAACTTTTATAACAATTACAAAACCTACTTAAAAAAAAGCCTGATATACTCAAAACTTTCACATATTTTATGAATAAATAATAATTATTTATAACCTTTCTTTCTCAATTGACTTAAACATATTTTCATGACAAAATCAAAATCATGATGAGATCATTAAATTTGAAAATGGACAATTCATTGATGCTAGCAGGTTGTGAAGTTAGAATAATAATAATTAAAAATATACTTTGTTAAATTCTTAGGTAAAGAAAATTAATAATAAGTTGCTATATCTTTATATTTTGAAAAATAATTGACTTACGGATATTTTCATTCGGCTTGTAGCTAATTTAGGTCAAGGCTGAACTAGGAAAAGTTCAGTCCAAAATGTTAACTTGGTCCAAGTCCAAAAAAAAAAAAAACTTGGTTCATAATGGGTCATCATGAATGGATATACTCCATTATTTTAATAAATATTCTTTAATAAACAAAATAATTACATAGACTTTATTTGTGTTGTCTAAAGTTTTGTGTAAAGGTAAAGATTTAAACCAAAATTTTATTATATTAATATTTTTTATTTTACTCATCAAAATACTAAGAGCAGGGATTAAATTAGAAATATAAAATTTTAAATAAATAGATAAATAAAAATTGAACCTTTAAATTAATAGATAAAAAAATATAACCTTCACTAAATTTCCATTTTACTAAAACTGATTAACTTTAAAATAATCAGTCAAAACTGGTTATCCTTAAAATTAAACAAATACTTGAAATATTTTTTTTATTTTAATCCTTTTTATATAAAAGTTTAATAATTAATGTTTTCTTTCTTCGTATATCTAACAGCTGGTTTGGAGAAGACAGATACACAGGATTGAATAAATATAATAAAAAGTTACATTTTTTATGTACAATAATGGTGTGCATTTTATATATATATATATATATATATATATATATATATATATATATTTTTTTTTTTTAATTATTCTCTCCTTTCTTAAATTAAAGAATTATGAAAAAAAAATTTAAAAGTATATACTATTTTATATATAATTAATAATGTCAAAAAAATAATTGATTATATTATACTTTTTTAAAAAATATTTTAATTATTCAAATTAATTGTATTTTTTATATTATATTTTTTCATTTTCTTTTATTCTATTTTCCTTAATATAAATTTTATTTTACTTTTTCCATTCTTTGAAATTTAGTCTTCACTTCATACAAGGACTAAAACACATATGATTCAGTTGAGAGAAATATTAAAATGAGTAAGAAAGAAATCAATATTAAACCCTTTTTATGAATTTTGTTAATTCAGGATAATTACATTAATTGATCTATTTGATTTTGACTATTAACTATATTCATGGAACTCAGATTCAATCTTCTAAGGGGGTTGTCCATTTTTGTTTGTTGTCTTTGGGATAATTGGGATGAAGAAAAATGACAAAAAAAAAACACTGACTCTTCACACATCCCATGCAATAACCTAACCTCGAACTTGCTTCTTACATCACATGAAATCGATCAGAAAATCCAGTGGATATTCTGCAAGTGGCATGGTTGCCCCTCAATCATGGTGATTGATTAATCTTTCTAGGGAAAGAAACTAAAGTGGAAAACTTTTTAAAAAGTTTGGTTCAGGTCATCATGATGTGATGAAGGGATTGATTTCTACAATGGGCCTAGTGTTATATTTCTACTTCAATGGCCCAATGCAATCCAAAGAAATAAAAAATCACTTGTTGCAAAACATGAACAATATTATTCTGCTTTTATTTACCTGTTTTCATTAAATCATTGTATTATGAAAATTTTTCAACTTTCAACTAAACAACACTCTAAATCATTTTCAGGTAAGTTCATATGTGTATTTAGGAATAAATTAGTCAACTTCTGAATTACACAAATAGTACTTTTTTTTTCTTAATTCAATATAACATAAACTCCTTTTTTTCGTATTTTGTGTAGGTGTTAAGGTTTGGTCAATAATATGAAAAAATGAGATAAGGCTTTGCCTAATTTCTTTTATTTTTCTTTTTGGTGGCATGATTTTGTTAAAAATTACAAGATTTTACTGGAATAGATTTTGTTGGTGGCATTACTATAACTTTGAGCCATAAATAAAGCATAGGCATGTATGGTAAAGTTATCTATTTTTAATTTGTGACATTCATTGCAGGTTTAGTTTTTCATGGAAGAAAGTATTTGTGAAATGAAAGTTAGGTGATTGAGACAAGATTAAAGTAATTACGTGTGTGCAGGGTCAGGGGTTGTCAGTACACCCGCACACATGATCTAGAACTTTCTTCATGCTCCCACGTGTGAGTAAAATCCAAAGTTGGCACAGCATATTTCATGAAACCAGCAACTTTGTAACATAGTTACACATAGCCCAAACACATCACTGCATCGAATTGAGACACTGCCACGTACCCTCTTTTGCATGGTTACACCAAATACTATGCAGCCACGCCCATTCTCACCAGCTATCCCTATCACCTGCATTCTCTCTCTGCATCTTCTCTCTCTACATCTTCTCTCTCTCATCAACACCTCAACCACCCTATATAACTCACCCTTCTTCCACTCCGCAAATATCCATTCTTCTCACTCTCTTTGGATTGATTATTCTTCCATCACTTTTTCCCTTACTTCACCAAAAGATGACCACCATTTGTTTAGAGCACAAATTCCAACTTCAACCCTCCCACCAACTTCTCTCCCTCAAGAAATCCCTCAGGGACATTGATATCCCTCCAAGGAAGCTCCTCAGCCGCCGCTCAGCCCTCCTTCACGACGGCGCCGGCGATATTTTTTCCGACGACACCCTCCTCCACAAATACCTTCCCCACAGCAAATCCATGGATTCCGATGACTCTGATGACAATGGAGACCCTTATGCCTCTGATGAATTCCGCATGTTCGAGTTCAAGGTCCGGCGCTGCACTCGCAGCCGGAGCCATGACTGGACAGATTGTCCCTTTGCACATCCCGGCGAGAAGGCTCGCCGCCGCGACCCTCGCCGGTTTCATTACTCTGGGACTGTCTGTCCAGAATATCGCCGCGGGCAGTGTAGTCGTGGCGATGCATGTGAGTTCTCTCATGGGGTGTTCGAGTGCTGGCTACATCCTTCTAGGTATAGAACTGAGGCTTGCAAGGATGGGAAGAATTGCAAGCGAAAAGTTTGCTTTTTCGCTCACACCCCTCGCCAACTCAGGGTTTTGCCTCCCCAAGACAATATCAAGAAGAAAAAGGGCACCGATATGAGCCCTCATAATACTAACCATTGCTGTTTTTTTTGTCATTGTTCATCCACTTGTTCACCAACTTCTACTTTGTTTGGCATGTCTCATTTTTCTCCTCCTTTATCCCCCTCTTCCTCTCCCTCCTCCCCTTCCCCTTCTAGGTTTGAGACTAGCCACCATCATGGTGTTGTGAGCTACAAGGATGTGTTCTCTGAGCTTATGTGCTCCATGGAGGGTTTGAATTTCGGTGAGGCTTCATCTGTGTCTGCTTCTAAGCCTCACAGTCTGTCTTGGCTTGATGTCCCTGAGGATCATAAACAGTTCAACACTCATTCACCGACCATCACTGCTACTTATGGAAGCTTTTCCAAGAATGGGAATGGAAGATTTTTGAGGGAAGAAAGTGGGGTTGCTGATGATGTCATTGCCCCAGATCTCGCGTGGGTGAATGACTTGCTGATGTAGATTATCATTAATACGTGTTGAAGATGATGACAAAAGGTGCATGGTGGGATTCGTGACGAGGATTTACCAAGTGTAAATACATGTCGGAGCAAGCAACATATCCTTGGCTTCTATTGTTATTATTGTTAATTATTGTTTCGAGTACTTTCATTGCTTTCTGAATTTTATTTAAGGTTGTCAAAATTATTCCTGTAATTTTTATCTCAATTAATTAGATTTGATCTTCTGTTCTGTGACTGTGTAGAAAGAAATGGAAACATATTCCAGCAATGTAACGTGAACTTTTCTTCTCTGTTTTGGATTTTTTCTTGGCTTTGGTCATCTTATCATTCTGTGTCATGGAATCATAATTTCGAATTTTTCTTTTTATTCTGTTGTGTTGTGTTGGCGTGAGTGCCAAAAAAATTCACCAAATGCTGACACATGGCAAGCATGCAATGTTTATCGTGACAAAATTTAAGATAAAATATTCTCGAAAATTTATTGTATGCGGTGTTGCATTTATTAGTTGAAAATTGTTTTAACACAGTCTTCACCCAGAAGAAGATTTTTTCGTGAATCACGAGGAGGCACCCGAATTAATATCCTTCAATTATATTACTTATTTGACATGTATTTTTCTCTTTTATGTATAAATAAAATTCACTCATTTATTAAAACGAAAATGATTTAAAATTAAATTATGGACACCCAAGGAAAAGAAGAAAAACCTTAATTCCTACAAATAAAATGCTTCCATATATAGTAAAAATTTATTGAAATATAATATTATTCTTTCTCCTTAAATTTGCATAACATTTTCATAATACTTTTTCTCTCTTAGTCAATTACACATATTATGTATTCTCTTGCTTGCCGCTTCTCTTTAGTGGAAAGTGAAACTGTCTGAGATAACGTAGCTTAGAATATTAAGTAAAATTGGATAAAAGTTTTCTCTTTTAAAAAATAGTTCATTTCTTAATTTGAGTTCTCTTTTTATATTTTAAGAGAAAAAAAATATCAAAATACAGAGACAGGAAGAAGCGTTGTCGGTTTATATGAAATTCAATTCTTATTATTCAGTTTTAAATTAGCTATAGTTCTGTATAGTGTTTATATTTTTATAATAATTTTGTCTGGAGTTCAGTTGGAGTTCAGTTCGAGTATGTGTGAAGGTTATCTGGTTCAATGAACATTTAATTCTGTATAAAGTTTTAACGATTCTATATACATTCTGATATATATATATATATATATATATATATATATATATATATATATATATATATATATATATATATAAAAGATGGTTTGTTTATATAAACAGTGGATACCTTGTCTTCTTCGTAACATGATCCATAATTGGAGCCATACTTGTGTACATGACGATGAAAACAATGGAGTAATTGTAATGGAATACGTAAGTATTTTTGTTGCAAAATTCCTCCCTATATGCTTATTTGTTTCAACGTTGTGAGTTGGAGATATATTCATTGTTGTGATAACGTGAGGGAACTTTGCGTGAGACATTATCATAGGTTTCCTTATATGGTTCTTTTTGTTCTATTTTAGCTTGTATCATCTGAGTAATTGGGTTTTACTCATTCTTCAAATCCAGCGTTATCTTTTTCTACATGACTCATGCATCATCCAAATTAGTCTTTTTGTTAATAGTAGAGGTACATGTTAGTCATATGTCACTTTCACTAACATTAAGTTTATACTATTTTTTAATAATTAAATGAGGAAACCACACAACCCATCACACACTTAACCACATACTTTCAATTTTCCAAATTTTAACAAGTGTGGGAAAATGAGTAGATACATTGTACTAGCGTTTAAAGAAGTTTTTATAACGGTTTGCAATTAGAAATAATGTTTGCTTCCTAATTTTTTTTTTATGAACTATGTTGAAAACCTTAGCAACACTAATTATATAAGTAAATCAAAGTATAAGTAATAGTTGGTAAGTTGGGTTTTAACCTTTACTTAAATTGGGAAAGAGAAATATACAGAAAACAAATATCTAAATTTAATAGCGAAAGATTTGTTTCCTAGGAGGTAAACTTATGAATGACCCATAAGGGTGTGTATGGAATAAGTGATTTGGGTGGGGTTTTGTGGTTTGGTAGGCACTGGGTTAGGTATAGTCATTGCCATAAACTCAGACACACATAATGATGTGGGATGGGGGAGCACCCCATGCTAATTAAAATGACCCCTTTGGGAGTTTGAGGTCCCCTCTGTGCCCTTAACTTTGTGTCACATTTTTATGTTCCTTTGTAGAAGAAAATTTAAGAGCACCTTTTATGGGACAATCAACCCATACTCTTGTTATGGTTGTGACGTTCCTCAGAAACTCGTCCAAAAACATCTTAATATTACATGATGTTACATTATTAAAGATTTCGATGCTCATGCACTTTGGTACATTTCAATCAATGCTTTGGTACATTTGAATGAATGATAGAGTTTCAATTCAATTTGTAGTTGAGATCTGGCTAGGGTTGTTTGGGAACATTATTATCTTGGCTCAATACTGACTTGTCCCCTTCCTTCTATGCCATTCAAATGCTCACCAAATTTGTATGCATCTATGCATGCATGCACACATGTCTCCACCAATTGCACCTTTCACTACCTACCAAAGAATAAAGCTGCAATATGAATTTTACGTCTTTTTCGTTTATTTAATACTCCTTGTCATCACCCAAGACCTTTTCTTTTTCTGTTTCTTTTTCTTGTTTTGTCAATACCATAATGGATTACATTTTATTACCCTTTACGTCACCAGTGTCTTAATTAACATGCTAATTGCTAAATACATACACCCAATTATAAGAAAACCCTTTCACCCAAATAAATAACTACAAAAAAATTGCGTATTACCGACGGATATTTATTGACGAATTTATAACCGTTGGAAAATAATTATTACTGACAGAATTTACCGATGGATATAAAATATTTATGGAATTTGATGTTACCGACGGATATATCCGTCGGTAAAATAATAATTAGTTACCAACGGATATATCCGTCGATAAATCCGTCGGTAATTTACAGATAAATTTACCGACGGATATATTCGTCAATAAATCCGTCGATAAATTAACAATTAATTATCGACGGATATATCCGTCGATAAATTCATTCGTAAATTACCGACGGATATTTACGTCGGTAAATTAACAATTAGTAAATATTCACCTAATTAAAAAATTAAATATTTTTTATTTAATAATTTAATTTAATTAGATTAATTTATAATAATTTCTTAAATTAAATAATTTTAAAAAATAAATATTTAATTATATATAAATATATAAAAATATTTAATTATATATAAATATATAAATATATAAAATATAAATATATAAATATATAAATATATAAATATATAAATATATAAAAATATATAAATATATAAATATGTAAATATGTAAAAATATAAATATATAAATATATAAATATGTAAACATATAAATATATAAAGATGTAAATATATAAATATAATTTATTTGTAAATTATTATAAAAAATTTTGGTAGCTTAGTGGTTAGAGTATTAGCCTCTAACTTTAAGGTACTTGGTTCGAATCCCGAGAATTGTTTAATAATAAATATATTACTGATGGATTTTTGACCATCGAAAATCTGTCGATAAATAGATATTACCAACATGATTTTGACCGATCAATAATATTAAAATTTCTTGTAGTGAAAACCTTGAACGATTAACAAGCTTCTAACTAACAACACTCTTACATGGTGTTTCACTATAACTTTTATAATACACTCAAAATATTTTCATGGTATATTGTAGAAGTGGACTTATATTATGTTAGAAATATAAAGGTATCTAAGTCAATTGTTATATAAAATATAATTAATGTGAAATTTTTTACAAATGTCATACACTTATATGTATTGAATTATTTAACAAAATGTAATGTAAATATAATGTATGGTTGTGATTCTGTTTGGTAATATATTTAACAAGTAATGGTGTTAGAAATTATTCAATTGCATATTGGTCCTTACTAGTAAGCTTTGTGTGACATCATCTTGCAAAAGGGCTTTTATTCTTTCACCCAACCAACCATATGAATCTACTCAGTTCAGGTTTAAGGTTTAAGATTTAAGGGTCGTGTTTCATTAATAAAAAAATCATTTTGAGATGAAGGTTTTACATCTTGAACCAAAAATGTAGAAGAGGTGTAGGTTGAGATTGTTGGGGTGTAGAAAAAGATACCCCTTGGTCCACATGCAATTATTTTAAATAATATAGAAATTAAGGGTTTTAGCATTTGGAGTCCAGTATTGCAGGTTGTATTTGCTAGTTGGGCTTTGCAACTAAAATGAAGACCAACCAGTTAGGCTGGTCCATCAGAGATTGGGGCAAAATTGTACTGAAGATTGTTTGTTTTGAAGATTCAAGTCTCAATTTTTTTATCTCTTTTTGACAATTAAATGACGTGAAATTTCCGAAAATGTCAAAATAAACCATTAAATAAAAATATGATTAAGAAGTAAATATTGTTTCTCATTATATGTTTAAATTTATCGATATATCTCATCATTGATTTAACACATTCTCCTTAACGAGAATTATAATGCTTTACTCAATACACTTCAAATAAAAATCTCCTCACCCCTTCTTTCAAATACGTTAAGGGAGCAAAAATTTAATACAGAAGAAGTATATAACTTAAAAAGTTGTAAGATACAGTGTCCTATGACAGAAGAGATATATTGCAGACACATATTAGAATCCAGAAACAAAATGCTATCATAATTAACCTCGTCACGTTGTTTCATTGATTATTCAATTATATTCTTCTTACGTCAACTGATAAACATAAATGTAAGCATAATACTTTTAACATTGAGGACCAACGTGATGGTGTTGTCTAAATTCCTATACTTACTTGAAAAGTCACAAATTTACTCTGTAGTTAAGGCTTCAAAAATTAGAAAAAAAAAAAAAAAAAGCCTCGAATACAATGAATGGAAAATG